GGGGGGGGGGGGGGGGGGGGGGGGAGAACGATACTGGGAGTTCTTTTCTCTGCTTTCTGGGGAGCTACAGACCAAGTCACTCCCTTTGTGGCACTGGCCTTGCTATGCTGCATTCCTTTGGACTGGCAGCCCAGACAGACCTACCTACCTTCCTTCCTTCCTTCCTTCCTTCCTTCCTTCCTTCCTTCCTTCCTTCCTTCCTTCCTTTCTTTCTTTTTTTTCTGTTGATTTTATTGAGCTCCACATTTTTCTCTACTTCCCTCCCTGCTCTTCCCCTCCCCTTCAGTCCTCTCCCATGGTCCCCATGCTCCCAATTTACTCAGGAGATCTTGTCTTTTTTCTACTTCCCATGTAGATTAGATCCATGTATATCTCTCTTAGGGTCCTTACTGTTGTCTAGGTTCTCTGGATTGCAAATTATAGACTGGTTTTCTCTGCTTTGTGTCTAAAAGCCATTTATAAGTGAGAACATATGATATTTGTCTTTCTGGGTCTGGATTACCTCACTCAATATGATGTTTTCTACATCCATCCATTTGCCTGCAAACTTCAAGATGTTATTATTTTTTTCTGTGATATAAAGATGAATACTTTGCATTGGTATGGATCTTGGTTTATTGTTACAAATTTAAGGTCAATTTTTGTCATCTATATTTCTACTCCTATTTAAGGTATGTTTAAAAAGCTCATTTAATAATGTAATGTATAATTAAAATTATGTGTTAATAGATAGTCATTTATAATAGTCAAACTTGTAGTCATATTAGGTTTTCTAGATATATATTTCAGTTAGATAATCTTCAACACTTCAAAGACCTATGACATATGGCATTTAATTTTTTTTTTTTTTTTTTTTTGTTTTTTGAGACAGGGTTTCTCTGTGGTTTTGGAGCCTGTCCTGGAACTAGCTCTTGTAGATCAGGCTGGTCTCGAACTCACAGAGATCCGCCTGCCTCTGCCTCCCGAGTGCTGGGATTAAAGGTGTGCGCCACCACCACCTGGCCCATTTAATATGTTTTAAGAACTAAGAATTTTCTCAACAGTAAGACATCTGATTCTGGCAGTACCAATTACTTCAGAGAGGTTGATGGGCATTGAAGAAACTCGTTACGAAATTTGCCTTCAATGTGACAAGGCTAGCCATTTGGGAAAGAAACTGCTCTTGCCTGGGCTGCTTGATGGTATGCTGTATGAACTGGACATGCCGGATCCACAGAAAAGTTGCTGTTGAATTTGCCTAAAGAAGGTGAGACATCCCAGAGAACCTAGACAACAATGAGGACTCTATGAGAGACATACATGGATCTAATTTACATGGGAAGTAGAAAAAGACAAGATCTCCTGAGTAAATTGGGAGCATGGGGACCATGGGAGAGGGTTGAAGGGAAAGAGAAAGGAAGGGAGGGGAGCAGAGAAAAATGTAGAGCTCAATAAAAATTTTTTAAAAAAGGTGAGACAACCCTTCAGGGTTTCTGCTTCATGAAAGAGTCTGCCAGACATTCTGCAGAACACAGAAGAAAGTGACTAACAAAGTGCCAATGTAAGCGAAATAGTCTTTGAAATTTCCTGCTTCATGGAAAAGTCTGACAGATACTATGGGCCTGTAGGCTGAAGATGGATGCCCCACATTACAGAAGAGCTTTGGGTGACTTGACTGCCCAGGCAGTGAGATGTCAGTCCTAGTTTTGGAAGTTGGCTTACAACGCACTTCCTGTTAACTTAGGTAATATTATATCCTTCTGGGGTCTTTTGGAGTTGAAGAATAGATAGTTATAGTTTTCCTTAGTCATGATAAAATAAATTAGATATAAAACTTTAGCCTCACAAAGATAGAATAGATAACAGAGTATTTTTCTCAGTTTGTCAAATATAAATGGACTAAATACTGTAACTATAATTCTTGCTTGATAACTGCTTTGTATATGTAATTTTACTATGTTAAAGATAAGATCTTCCTTTTTATTTAGAAAGAAAAGAGAAAATGATGTGGGATGTCCTTCTGTATGTGTTGCTTTTATTGGTTGATGAACAAAGCTGCTTTGGCCTGTGGCAGGGCAGAATATAGCCAGGCTGGAAGAGGTAGAGACAGAGAATAGGTGGAGTCAGGGAGATGCCATGTAGCTGCTGAAGGAGAAAGATATCACCAGAACCTTACTAGTAGGCCACAGCCTCATGGTGATACACATATTAATAGAAATGGGTTAATTTAAGATGTAAGAGCTAGCTAGGAATATGCCTAAGCTATTGGTCAAACAGTGTTGTAATTAATATAGTTTCTGTGTTATTATTTGGGTCTGGGCGGCCAGGAAATGAAGAAGCATTCTTCACTTACACCCTTCATCCTTTAAATTAATTTTTGTCAGGAATTTTGGTCACAGCCATGAGAAAGCTAACTATTGAAAGATGCCTAGAGTACTAAAATAAGTGGAGTTCTGAGGGGGCTGAGAGGAGGCAGCCCGGGTGCATTGTGACCTGGGGAACTGACTGGACCCAAGGGAGAGCATTATGTATGATCTTTATCCTTTTCGCTAGTGGCCACTGCTCCTCTCTAGGCCTCACATCCCTGCCACAGTTCAAGCCCAGGGCTGCATTAGCAGGTGGGGCTCAGAGACAGTACAGCATTCTTGCTATTATAGTGCAAGGTAAAAAGGTCATTCTCAGGGTCCAGTGGCACTCTTAGACAAGTAGAAACCGCATACCCCCTTGTTTATGACAGTAAGCGATGATGTAGGCCAGCAGAGATGATGTTCCCTTCATTTATGACATTGAGTGATGATGTAGACCAGCAGAGACGATGCTCTCCATCTGTGACCTTCAGCAATGATCACCCATCACTTCCTTCCCTCAGAGGCAGCTCATCTGCTCTGTCCTGGACTAGCATTATTCTTTTTCTCATCCTGACGTTTCTACTTGGTTGTTCCTTTTCTTGCCTTGCATGAAAATATGTTCTTGCATATTCTTTAGGTAAGGCATCCAAGTGAGGTAAGTACTGAAAAGAAAAGGGAAAAGAAGCCCCCAACAAAAGACATCTCATGGAAGAGCATTCTTATACAATAAGTTACCAACTATAAAGGATGGTTTCATTTCCATAAAAAAATGTGTGCCAAAAAGTTTTACTAGGGTTTAACTTTTAGGGTTTTAATTCTCTATTTCTATTTTTGCCCAAGATACAAACAGTTTGTATAATTACCTTCCTCTCAAGCAATTTAAGTACAAATTTTTCCCTCCCAGTAACTGACCAAGAACAGCAAATCCAAAATACTCATATTTCAGTTGAAATCAATTAAGATGGAAAAACTTGACAGTCCATCAGCCTCTCCAAAGAAAACACATTTGCTGTTGGTGTTTTGAAGCCCAATCCCTTCACAGATTGTCCTCTAGGGGCTCAAAGGGTATTTTCTATTTTTCAAAGTTCAGCTTGTCATCCACAAAATCTCTTCTCCTGTTAGTGCCCTGGTTATGCGCTACACAATCTTCTCCTTTTTCCACAGGACAGTTAAGAAACCCTTTCAGTTTCATGAGGAGCAAGGGCTTCAGGAAGTGTTGTCCCACAGGGTCCTGGAAAATGAAACCTGAATATGTTGGTGGCTGGGGTGGTTTCCGTGTTAAACTCGGCCACTGGGACTCCCCTGGAAGCCACCTGAGGAGCAAACATGGCAGCTGGGTAGACCACAGAGGATGTTCCCACCACTAGACACAGGTCACAGAGGGCGAGCTCTCTGTCCACCTCCTCCAGAACAGCAGGATCCAGGTTTTCTCCAAACCACACCACATGAGGTCGCAGCAAGCCACCACATCCGGCCTCCTCACACCGGGGAAGTTTGTCAACTGGGATTCTGGCGTCCTGGGTCTCTGGTTCTGGAGCCCCTTTTCCTGCTAACGCTGGACAAATCGGACTCTTGTAGTTCTCAGCAACATTGCCGCATGAGGTGCACCGAGTTTTAAACAAGGTCCCGTAGATTTCCAGCAGGTTCTTGGTGCCAGCCTTGCGGTGCAGCTCATCGATGTTCTGAGTGATGACTACAACCCGTCGGCCCTGGTCATGTAGCCGAGCTTCACACTGGGCAATGGCCAGGTGCCCGGGATTGGATTCCTTGCTCTTCATGACCTCCCTCCGGTAGTGGTAGAACTCCCACACCTGTGATGGGTTGCGGGCAAAGGCCTGTGAAGTCGCCAGGTCCTGGGCTTGCCATTTTCTCCAGTAACCTCCTGCTCCTCTGAAAGTTGGAACCCCGCTCTCCGCACTAACGCCAGCCCCTGAGATGATGGCTATGTGCTTGGCATTTGCAAAACACTTCCGAAAATCTGCCATATTTGAACTTGGATGAGCCATGGTGAGGCAGATCTTGCTTCACAGGGAGGCTGGAGGCTTCAGTCCACAACACAGCTGGGAAATGAATCGGCTGGGAAGGATCTGGAGTGGTCGCATCAGGGTTTCTTTGAAGTACTGCTTCTCCAGCAGGCTGCAGAAGGTGGGGACAGAGCAGGCAGGAGAGCAGGGGATCTTGTGATTGGGCCAGTCTCAGGAAACATCTAGTTGGGGCCCTGGGAAAGGATCTCTGGTCCTACAGACCTGAGGAGTGTTTGTCTGTGCTCAGGCCATGGTGGACGAAGAGGCCGTGGGCTCTGCACCAGCTGTGTCGTGCCCCAGGTCTCTTGGTTGCCTAGCCTTCCCGTTTCTCCCTGGGCACCCTGCTGGCTAGAGGGAGATGAACTTGGACGTTAATCTAAGATTTCCTTGCACCTCCAAAGTCCAGTCCCTTCTCCCTCATTTTAGACAGGACTCCTGATGATGCCTACAGGGGACAAGAGGACGCAGGAGGATTTGTAACCACAGACCTGGCCCTTGCCCAGGGGCCTGAGGCCTCTGCTCTCAGGCGGCTCAGGGATCAGGATGCCATGAGCTGGCTGGGTGCCTATAAACAGCTTCGTTCCCTTATGTTGGTTCCAAAGATTGGAAGCTTCGAAGTGGTCTTGTTTGGCTGGGTGGCAGGGATATAGAGGACTGCCTCCTGCCTGTCTCTCCTTCAGTAGATACTATGCATCTTGGCCTGTCTTCATCCCCCAGCCCTTGAGTTCCTGATGACCCCTGGCCAGTCCGGCATTCTTAAAAGGACACCTGTTGCAAGATTGTGTACCCTGACGAGGACCCCAAGGACTTGATGAACCTGTGAGCTCTTTGGAGTTTGTTGCAGGAGCATAGGTGACCCTGAGATGCCTACCCCATCCCCAAAGTTGCCCCAGTCAGCCCTCCACCCACTCTTCTCTGCAGCTGCAGGAAGAAGTGAGTACCTAGGATTCAGACAAGGGTCTTGAGACCTGACTTCCATGAGGGTCTCCTGCAGTGGTCACATCGTGACCCCTCCAGGCTCACCTCTTCATGTCAAGGATCTTCATCTCATCTGTGGAACCCTCCTGCCATATGAGGTCATATCACAAGGACTGCAGGTTAGGATGGAGCCTTTTTTGTGCCTTCATCAGCCAGTCATGCCGGATTCTGGATCCCCAAGGTGTCATGTGTTTACCTAAGGGGGCTCTGTCCTGGAAGCTGAACGCTAGCTCTACTGTACCCGCATTCATTAGGCCACCTCTGCAGGCTGATGGGGGGATGACAGGAGGCCCCACCTACTCAGCCTGGTGCCTTTCCCCCTTCTCAGCACACCAGGCTTTCTTTGGCAGCTTTTAGGAGTCCTGTGGAAACCAGTGTAGCCTGGGGTGCTGACGAACTGGCACTGACAGCTTCTCGAAGCTCCCTATGGGGCTGAGGGCAAAATGAAAATCCGTAGGCAATGTCATGTGACCTGCGCTCCTACTTCAGCACTGACTGCTGACAATAATTCTTTTCCTTGCTTCTCATGAATGACTCCGGATCAGGGCGTACTGTTTTTCTCACGTGGTCAAAGCCAGAGACCCTGTGCCAGTAACGTGGCCACTCCCATAAGCTGTCTCACATGATCCAGAACTTTCTAAGCTTCTGAGGAGAGTCCCCGTCATACACTGCGGAGAAGAACAGAACAGCTGTCGGGAAGCCCCTGATGGATAGGTGCGCAGCCAGCCAGATAAAGGAAGAAGGTTCGAAGGCATGGATGCTCCAGCATAGTGCCCTGCAAGCCCCCTCCACCACCTGCATCCCCAGGGTGCTTGTGCGCACCTCCTTGGCTGTCTTCTGCTCAGTACCTTGGGACTGGCTGTACCGGGCTGAGCAGAGGGTAGCCACCCACCCTCCTCTGGCTGCAGATGGTGCCCTGCAGGGTGCCTCCTCCACAGCTTGGGAAAGGTCACACAGCCTTGGGAGGCCTGCAAGGGGGTGGATATCAAAGCCCCAAAGAATTAAGAGATCGTGGAATTTTACAGCTTAGTGGCCAACTTCTAAGTCATGCACAGTAATGGGCAGCTAATGAGAGACCCTGGGCAGGGGCAGGGGAGTGCCCTGAGCCCCTGAGCCTGATTAAGGAGTACAAAGCTTTAGCCATGGTCTGGCCAAGCACTTTTTATCTTTTTCCTTAGGAGACTGGGAGGAGGGGCGCGTGGGGGTGGGCTGTTGAGCCTCCTGGCTCCTGGAAGGTATGGTTTGACACCGGGTCACTTAGATGCTACTGTGTGTGGCCCCTCTCCCCGACAGCCTGGACTCCTGCCCTGGATCCTGATTAATATCCATAGTATCCATCTCCACCGTCCCCAGGTTTAATAACCCCACTCTAGTGAAGAAGATGTGGAGTTGAAAGGTTTTATACAGCTCGGCATGGTCTCTGAGTACCAGACCCCAGGCCAGCATGTGAAAACCAGGCCACAATAGCCATGGAGCACCAGTAGCCCCATGGGGAGAGCAGAGGGAGCACTCTCCAGATCCTGCTGACCTCAGACCTGAGTCTCCAGAATGAAGCTAAAGCTCTGATGTTTCAAGCCCCGAGCCTATGGCATCTAGTTACAGCTGCCTCAGGAGCTTTCGCGGGGGAGATCCATGACTTTCCCGTTCTTCCTGGAGTCCCTTCCTTCCTTGGTCCTTCCTTCGGTACTTCCTGTGTGCTGACTCTTGTCAGCAAAGGGCAGGGGGCCAGTGGAATCACAGCCTCCCTCGGCAGTCCTGCTGAGAGGCTGTCAGGCATTTAGCGGGCGCCAGCTGTGTGAAGCCTCAAGGAGGTCACCAAGTCAGGGTTGAGAGACTAGAAACATAGGAGGAAACAGCACTTTGGGGGGCGTCCCTGACAGACTGATTGGACAGAGACGATTGATGGAAACAAACGGTTCTCAACAGGGTCCCTTGGCCAGCAGCAGGAAGCGTATTAGACAGACAGGTAGATAGATTCTCAGACCCCATCTTGGGCCCACTGAGGCAGAAATGCTGGGGACGGACGGACTGGCCACTTGTGTGCAGAAGAAGCCCTCAGGGGATTCCCCAGAAGCCAGTTGAATCTTGACATCTTGACGTGTGTCTTCCAGAGGCAGCTTAGCCACACACAGGTTCAGAGCATCGAAGGTTGCCCTTCTACTCAGTGTAGCTCCCACCTGGAGCTCTTGGGCAGCAAGACCCTCGGGCTTCCCCACCGTGGAGGCAAGCAGTCTGCCTTTCCACAGGGTTCATCTGAGGCTCAGGGTTAGTTTGAGGAGCGCCCACCACTGGCATTGTAAGAGGCAGGGAGAGGACCCTTCCACAGATGGACCTCCATGAGACATACTGTCAGCCAGTGACGACAGTGAGTGACAGTGATAGACACAGCCAGCGCCTTCCATGACCCTCCCCCAGGCAAAGTCTAGAGGGACTGCAGAGGCTCTGAAGAAACCCACCCCGGCCTACAGTGGGTGGGATCTGCTTCTGGGTGCCTGGCCCTGATGGAGCCCTGCTCAGCTCTATCCAGTAAGCTGCAGACAAAGCCACACCCCAGGGAGGGGCCTCTGCAGGTGGCAAGAATTAAGTCGTCCTGACCAGGCCCATTGCAGGCTTCTGGGACAGGTGGTCTTGGTTCGCCCTCTCTGTCCTTCAGACTTGGATCATTAGCCCAACACGTGCCCTCTCGGGCCCAGCCTTGTGGAGGTAGATTGCCCTTCCAGCTGCCACTCAGGGCCCCGGCGATGCAGCCAAAGCACGGAGAGGAAGCCTAAATTCCAGCTTGCTGACTCAGGACCGTGGGGGTACCTTGCTGGGTTTGGTAAGGACTAGGGCTCTGGGCCTGGTGGGAGCTCAGATTGGAAGCACGGGTGTGGGTAAGAGCTGGAGAGTAAGCATCCACCAGGAGAGGAAGCTGGAGCTTTAGACAAAAAAGGGGAATGGGGGATGAGGTCAGGGTCACCTTGGCATTAGAGGGAGGATGGGAGAGAGAAGAAATGTAAAATGTTAGAGGGTTGGGGTAAATGAACACGAACCCCTTGGGAAGAGGGGAGGGGAGGACCACAGTTGCCCTGTCTCGTGCTGACCTGGGCTTGAGACCTAAAGGATGTGGAAGGAAGGTTTGACCCTCGCCCTCCCTCTCTGTCCTTCTGCTGCCCCAGCCATGGAAGGACAGACCAGAGGGAGCAGAGGCCTTCTGGAGAAGCCTCTCTCTGCTACCCCCAATCCCACTCTGTCCTCACTGGGTGCCGTGTTTATCCTCCTGAAGTCCGCCCTGGGTGCCGGCCTGCTCAACTTCCCCTGGGCCTTCTATAAGGCGGGAGGCCTGGTGCCCACCTTCCTGGTGGCACTGGTGAGTCATGCTCTTCTGGGCGGGGTCCTCGGGGTTCCTTTGTGAGATTTTATTTCCGAGCCTCTGCATGGGGAGATATGATCTACTCTCAGTAGGTCACGTATGCGCAAGAACTGTCCTGCTGAGTCTCCGCAGGCTCTTCAGGGTAGGATGAGATCCATCATGTCCTGAAGTATTCCCCGGGGAAGAAGAGCCCCAAGCTGCAGGTGCACACAGTTTAAGAAGAAACCCATACCAGACCAGGACAGTACTGGATACGGGACTGTCCAGGGCAGGGTGGGACTGTGTGCCAAGGGGCTCAGCTTGCACGTCCTAGGGCCACACAGGCCCCTCTGCAGTTCTTTCCGTGTAAGTTTGACCCATGAGAGAGGGGTGAGCAAGGCACTGAGCTCTCAAGAGTGGTTACCCAAAGCATCCTGGGAAACTACAGTGATACCTGCAGCTGTTCCTATGCCCTGTAAACTGAGATGCCTGCAGTGTCTGGGCAGACAGGAACATGCCCAGGGACCAGGGTGGATGGTGGGTTCAGGGTAGTATTCTAACTCGTGTATGTGTGGAATTGTTCACTATCAATAATTTTAAAAAAAATGGAGAGAGCCCTGGAAAGCAGTAAGTAAAACACCCCCCCCCCCCGCCACTTGCAAACACAAACTACAACGCCTGCCTTCTTGAGAGCCTTCACCCTGAACCCGCCTGTGAGTCATACCTCTAATGTACACAGCCCCTACGGTCCCCTCTGCAGGTGTCTTTGCTCTTCCTGATCAGCGGCCTGGTCATCCTGGGCTACGCAGCCTCCGTCAGTGGCGAGATCACCTACCAGGGCGTGGTCCGTGAACTGTGTGGGGCCGCCATGGGGAAGCTGTGTGAGGCCTGTTTCCTGACCAACCTGATCATGATCTCTGTGGCCTTCCTCAGGGTGATCGGAGACCAGCTGGAGAAGTGTGAGTTCCCTTTCCGGCATTGGGGTGACCCAGGGGGCAGGGCCCCCAGTTGATGAGCGAGTCAGTGGGATAGACCTCAAGGGGGACAGGAGAGGCCGGACCTCGCCTGAGGACCCAGTGTGTTTAGAAAGGGAGCGGTCAGTCAGGAAGGCCTGAGAGAGACTGGCTGCTGATGGAATGGCTAATGGAGTCAGCCCATTTCACAGATGGGGAAACTAAGCCAGCTGCAGAAAGACCTCCTGAGAACTTCCCAGTGACTCCCTTTATTTGGGCTCTGTGAAGACACCTCTGGCCCTTTCTAAGACTTCTCTAAGCACGGCTGTTGCTGCATCTGGTGTGTTTTCCTACCTCCTGTTTGCACCATGCTGGGCACAGCTTAGCAACTGGCTGTGCCTTCTGCCCTGACTTACAGATGTCTGTGCCACCATCTTGCTTAGTTTACATTTGGCAGTTGCTCAGATCCTCTGGTTCCTGTCTTAATTGTATGCCGGGCAAGATATCTTCTTGCACAATTATGAGATTTAGAGCCTGTTAAAGCCCGCTTGTGACCCTAGCGCTGGTCAGTCTTGGTGAGCATTACATGTTGTTCTGTTTTATTTCAAAACCGGGTTTCAGTAGCCCAGGCTGGACTACAGCTGAGCTCCCTATGTAGCGGAGGATGACCTTGAACTCCTAATCCCCCTGTTCCATGTTATTTTAAAATTATTTATTTTTATTATTATTTTAATTAAGTGTGTTGGGGGCGGGTTATGTGCACAGGAGTGCTGGTACACGCGGAGGCCGGAGTTGTCAGGTCCCCTGGAGCTGGAATCCTATGTAGATGCCAGAAGTCAAGCTGGGCCTCTGCAAGGGCAATGTTCTAACCTCGCCTCTCCAGCCCCATGCCTTTGCCGTAGCACCGTGATTACATGTACAGCCATGCCTGGTTTATGCAGTACTGGGGATGGAAGCCAGGGCCTCCCGATGCTAGGTGAGCTCTCCATTCACCGAGCTGCATCCCCGGTACATCTTTTCTGACTTTTAAAATGTCCTGCTTGGTCTACGCTATCTAAGAACCGGTGTCGACACCTCCCGCTGGGCCTGCAGGCCTGGCTGACCTCACCCTTTAATTCCACAGCCTCCGCTCTGTGGCATTCACAACCCCGTGATTAGGCACATCCTTTATTAATATGAAATCTTCTGCTTTCATCTCTGGCATGAAGCCTCCCTCTCTATTAATAGATTCGCCAGCTTCCTCAAGATCAGTGTCCGTGGGTAGCCTTCTCATTCTTCTCTGAAGTCAGCTACAGCTTGGGATTGGAAATACAGTCCTTGGAGACAACATATGGCTGAGGCTTATGGGTTGTTGGTTTTTTAATCATCTTGTCTACCTCAGGCTTTTAATTGGAATCCTCAGGCTTAATTGGAACATAGCTGTTGCTCGGGTTAGAGTGCAGTCTCCCGTGTTGCTGTTTGTGTTTTTCTTCCCTGCCCTTGTATGACAAGGCCCTGGCAGTGGGATTTTAGAACTTCCGACAATGTCCAGTGCCAAAGAATACGGAGGCTGGGCTCTCCGGACCTCCCAGTGGGTAAATGCATGGCCACGGTGTGGCAAGTGGAGAACCTCCCCCTACACATACACCTCGGCTCCAGGTACGGTAGCCAGGCAGTGATGAGAAGTCGGAGTTACAGGGATGGAACACTGTGTCCCAGAGTCCTTACTGACGTAGGAGCCGCCCCAGGTCTTGGTGGACTGACAGGTAAAGCGACCATGCTCATCCCTTTATGGTCTGTCATTGGGGATGTGGCCGTCCTTGACATCACACTCTTGGTAGGGAGCCGCTAATCAGAGCTCGAGTGCTCAGGGGCAGTCACTGTGACCCCATCGGGGCTGAAGACTTCAAAGGCTGTCTAGACATTGCAGGTTTGGGAAGGAGGGGGTGTCATATCGGTGTGAGGGCCGCTGTTTCCTGGCTGCCGGAAGCTCTGTGGGTGAAGGGTTTGCGTACTCCGCCCTACACCTGTTCTGAAACCCACCTGCGATCTCTTTGTGGACTTCACCACCTGCCTCCTCTTGGTGGCCCCAGGGTACGTGCATGCGTGTCTGTGTGCGTGTATGCTGGTGTGTTGTGACTCTGTCCGGAGGAGAGCCTCTCTGCATGGTGGTGACCTGGCTTTGGGACCCTTTCTCACCTCACCAGCTGGGGGAGCTGTTCTCACAAGGCAGGTATTTCTATGTGAACCCTTGCTCACCTCACCAGCTGGGGGCGCTGTTCTCGCGAGGCAGGTATTTCTATGTGGGGTACGTTTGATGAGATCTGATAAGAGTTGACTCACTGCAATGCAAGTGACCCCACGGCCCTCTCCCAGCCTCACCTCTGTCCAGTGGTCACCTTGTCTGTGGTTCCTGGTCACTCCAGCTTCAGGTTGTCTGTCAGTCCCTTGTTTTCCTCCCCTACTCTCCTTCCCTCTTAGATCACCTCCGACTTAGCCATCCTGCAGTTCTCCACGGTGCTTTCACTGAGACATTGGTCCCTGTCCTTCAGGTTGCTACGGCTTGGCTTTGTCTTGCAGTGTGTGGCATAAGAGACCTTGTGGCAGTTCTAGGTGTGACTTTTAGGAGGATGGGCAGCTGGCAGGAGGGCCCATGAGGAGAGGCAGAAGGTTGAGGGAGGGCTCTAAGGTCTCCAGGAGGCACCAGGAGTAGGCTGCTACTGTCTGGGGACCTCCAGACCAGCTCTGCCATCAGCCAGATGCCCCCAAGGGTCCTAACCACCCTTGGTGGAACTGAGGGGCCGGTCCAGCTCTTCCAGAATTTACTCTCTAATTCACAATGGGAGCAAGAGTTACATTTCTCAGCCACGCAGCTGTGGAGTGTGCTTTACTGAGCACCAGTGCGGAGCTGCAATGAGAACCAAGCTCACTTTCCCCCAGTAGTGCAGCCAGAGCCCCAAATGGTGCCATCTGACCCTAGCTAGCCAATGGGCTTCAGAACCAAACAGGGGCCTTGCTCAGGTCTCAGTGCCACAAAGGCAGAGAAATAAGCTCAGTGTGTGTTTGTTAAATGACTTCATGAAATATGGGGTTCCTTCCTTCAAGGGGGTCATGGGATGGGTCCCATTTCATTTCTGATCCCTCCACTCCCAGGTTGGCCTAGCTACCAGCCCATACGTCTGTACCCTATGGTTACTTCAGGTCCCACAGCCTAGCTTCTGTCCCTGTCTCTAACAGTGTGTGACTCTCTCCTGCCTGATGTCCCACAACCCTGGTATGCAGCCCAGGACATCACTCTGCCCCTGATCTCCGTGCTGGTCATCTTTCCCCTGTCAGCACTTCGGGAAATCGCCTTCCAGAAGTATACCAGGTATGGGGCCTCCGAGGCTTCTGGGCAGGGGAGCTGTATGTCAGGAGAGATAAAAGAAGGCCGGGTTTGCTTCCATTTGAAAAGAAAAGTGGAAGTTTTACAGGTTCTGTGCACTCACAGTAGAAAATATAGATAAGCCAAGAAATACTAATAGCAAGTCTTTAAAAATAATTTTTAACTTATTCTTCAATAATTTCCTACATGTGTATGGTGTATCTTGATCTTAGCCGCTCCTCACCCCCACCTTCCTCTCCATCTGCATCCCCTCCAAAGCCCTCCTTCCATCTCTCTCTTTCTCCCCCCTCCCCTGCACCTTTAACATCAGTTACCCACATGTGTGCAGGTGGGGGGCCACCCCCTGGAGCGTGAGCAGCATCCATAGGCCACACCCTCCAAAGGGATGGGTTTTGTGGTCCCCTCCTCATCCATGCCCCGCCCCATCCGGTCTGGCCCATGACCTCACCACAGTTGCTCTGAGCTAATGAGTATGGTGGCCACTCCATGTCCAGAAGACGGCATTTCTCAGCCCTCCCCGTCCTTCAGCCCTTACATTCTTTCTCTCCCCTCTTCCACGATGTCATCCGAGCCCTACAGGAAGAGGATTGATACAGAGGTCTCTCTCATTCGGGGCTGACCACTCAACAATCCCTTGTTCTCCACACGTTTGCCCACTTAAGAGTCTCTGCACTGACCCTACCCTGAGAAAAGAGGCTTCTCCACCCAGGGTTGAGAGCGCCACGAATCAGTGGGTATAGACATAGTCCAGCCTTGGGCTTTGGACCAGTTTTACAATCCCAGGCATGGCTCGGCTCCTGTGGAGCAGGCTTCAAGCCCACTCAGAAAGATGCTGGTTCCCCGGACTGTCATGCATTAGTGCCCAGCAGGTTGGTATTGTGGCATGTGGTACCTGGTGCTGGGTGGGACCACAGCTGCCTTCCTTCCCACCACAGCCCGACAGCACCGCCATCGCTGTGATGTCCCTGTGGGCATTGACTGTGTCTCCAGTACAGGGTCTCTGATTCTGTCTTGTGTGTGCCAGCATCCTAGGTACCCTGGCTGCTTGCTACCTGGCACTGGTCATCACAGTCCAGTACTACCTATGGCCCCAGGGCCTCGTGCGCCAGCCCCGTCCTTTGCTGAGGTGAGTCTCGGGGGGCAGTGTTTCCTGCTTTGTGGTTAGGAACCTAGAATTCTTAGAGCAGATCCTCTGGGGCTTGCCTCAGAACCCTGGCTCTTTCCCATGAAATCCCTCTTCTCTCTGATGTGTGATGAGCCAAGGAAATTCTTCCTTCAGAAAAAAAAAAAAAGGCACTGAAGGCCACGCTTGGGCCAAAATAGACACACCCTCTATGTGTCGGCTGGGGGACCTAGCAGGTGCCCAGGCTTAGGGAACATTGGAATTCTTGAGCAGCCCAGACTAGGGCTATACGTGAGGTAGGTGTCTCGTAGGGACTCGGAGCTTCTATGAAGACTGTTATTTTTGCCATGGGTGAACTGGGGTACCCTCAGTGTTCTGAGCACAGCAGGGATGGGGCATGGCTTGTTCCTGAAAAGGGTTCCCAGGTGGACTATGGGAGTCAGGTACAGGAATATGGGCTAGGCAGGAAGTCCCAGCCCAGACCTGAGGCCTCAGGCTGGGGGGGAGGGATCCCATCCCAGGCAGGTGATATGATGTCACGTGCTAGGTGTATGGACATCTGTTTCTCAGGGACGGTGACAGGTCAGGGGCATCTAACCGTAATCAACACTCTTGGAATTTTCTGTCATAATTGAACCAGGGCCTCAGCATGTCCATTCTGTATCAGGTCCCACAGATAAGGTGGTCGTCCTGGTCGGGGACTACAGGTGGCAAGGAAACAGGAGTCAACGGATGTGTGTCCCAGGCAGGGAAGCCTGAGGGCACGTCTGCTAGATGCTCAGTGACTGACCAGCTGTGTGTAGCTACAGTTTGAGGGAGGCAGGCCAGAGAGAGCAGAGCGGTGGTGATGTCTGCGGGCCAGCGTTGGAGGCTGTGGTGCTGATGTCTGCCGTGCCCGTCTGTGGGGCTGTGGTACTGAGCCAGGAGGTGGAGGGGCTGGAAGAACCTGGGTGGGGTGGGGTCTGTTTTGTTGCCGTTACTGTTGTTTAGTTTTCTGTGTGTTGGTGTTTCACCTACATGTATGTCTGCGCGAGGGTGTCAGGTGCCCCTGGAACTGGAGTTGCAGACGGTTGTGAGCTGCCATGTGGGCGCTGGGAGTTGCACTGGGGTCCTCTGGAAGAGCTGTCAGTGTTCTAAACCTCTGAGCCATCTCTCCAGCCCTGGGGTGGGGTTTTTAAGGTAGGTGGGTTCCCTGAGGTGCTGCAACAAGTTCCTAGAAACCAAGGGGCTCAAACAGTCAGGAATGTTTCCCTAGGCCCTAGAGCATTTGCTCCCTGAAGTGATTTGGACACAGGGCACACCAACCTTACATTCGGGGAGATATGTCAGACAGTGACTGCGTGTGCCCTTGCACCCCATAGGTAGCCTCTAGAGGGAAGACATGGCTTCTGTCCTGACACTGCCCTGCCCAAACCCCACCCACACAGGCAGTGTCATGTCACCAAAAGTCCACAAAGACATGTTTAGAAGGTGCAGCACGGAACACGCTTCCCTTCAGCCCTGGAGCAGGCACACAGACTCAGCCTTTCCAAATGCACCCTGTAGTCACACCCACCACATTTCCCCCATTTGTGTAAAACAAATATTCTCAAACTGAAGGTTGTTTCCGGCTCCTTAAGGAGCACTTGGCCCTGTCTGTTCACAGCCCGTCCCCCTGGACCTCTGTGTTCAGCGTCTTTCCTACCATCTGCTTCGGATTCCAGGTACGTGAAGAATGTGACATTTTCAGGCTTCTGAACCCTCTGGAGGGTGAAGCTTCCCCCCCCCGGGGGGGGGGGTGTCTGAGCGTTTGTTCTGCTCTCAATGCCCAGCTGTGACAGGGGCTGTCTTCCAGGGGCCATGACATCTGGGCCACCTAGAGGGGCTGTGAGCTGTCATTGAACTTCTCCCCACCCCGCCACACACACCCCACTCCCCCCCTCCCCCCTCCCCCCCCCCCCCCCCCCCCCCCCCCCCCCCCCCCCCCCCCCCCCCCCCCCGTACAGTAACCACATTGGTTGGGTCTGGAATCCAGAGAAGAGGGTGGGGACTGGGACACACCTCTCTGAAGAGTGCTCACAGAACTACCACCAGGCCCAGGGACAGAGCCACCCAGGTATACTTGCAGAATGAAAAGATTCTGCCCTGGGCCTTGGAGAAGAAAGATTAATACTCCTCAAGGTTTATTGCCTCAAGGGTTATAGGGAGTGTACGTGAGACCACGTGACAGGACAGGGGACCACGGCCGGCTAAGATTTACCTTTCCTAAAAATCCATCATCGCCAACACCTACACACAGAGCATACATAGGTCACAGGATCTGTGACAGCACCCAGGCCTCGCGTCCTGTGCCTCCTCCCCCTTACCCTCCAATTCTGTTCTTCCACTTGGATTTTCTTTCAGAGCAGTTTTTGATAACCCCTGGCAACAGTGCCCTTTCTCAGCCTGGCGACTTCTGGGGCTCAGGGAGAGGCTCCTGAGATGCTCACACACCTGATATTTTGAAAGCTGCCTGGGGCTGATTTTGCTCTGGGCTGCTGCCTGGGTGTGGTCAACACGGAACAGCAGGCAGCCTGTGCAAACCCCCTTCCAAAGGCTCACAGCCCTCACCTTGACCTCAGCTCCCTCCCTGGTTCTCCTAGCAACCAGGCTGTGGTTTCCAGGGTTTCCAGGGCTGCAGTGACTGCAGAGCTGAGGACAGGATGCAAGTGGGGGGCAGGGCTCAAGCCAGGGATGGATGAAGGATCTGGAGAGTCAGGAGTCTGAGGAGATCTGTGAGGGTGAAGATGGCTGAGCTTGGCAGCTTGGGGCTGTGAGGAAGGAGAGGCAGCAAGGCTTATGGCCATCAGTACTTTTGACAGGATTTAAACACACCTCCTCTCCCTGAACACACTGAGAAATAGGGCACCCCTGATCCCACAGTGAACTGGGTCAGTGCAGGGGCACAGAGGGCTGCAGACTCTGTCTCCAGCCACCCTGGCACCCCCTGGTTTTGTTTTAAACTGCTTTACTGAGGTTCGTACAACATGTGGGCATGGTCAGGGTGTGCAGTGTGGCCACCAGCGACCTGCTCCTCCTCCTCCTGCCACCCTCCAATGACCATGGCTCTGCTCTGTCTGAGGATCTCCCTGTCATGAGTGCTCCGTGACCCTGTGCCTCCTGTCATCTGGGCCGTGGGTGTCAGACACTCCTCATTCCTTTGCTTGTTTGTTTGTTTTTGAGACAGGGTTTCCCTGAGTAGCCCAGGATGTCCTGTTACTTGCTCAGGCTGGTCTCAAACTCAGATCCTGCCACCTCTGCCTCCTGAGTGCTGGGATTAAAGGCATCTGCCACCATGCCTAGCTTGCCTCATTCCTTTTTAAAGCCAAGTGACATTCAATCATGGGGACAGCTATGGTCTGTGGACCTCTGCCTTGCCTGTACGTCTGAGGCTGTCACAGTCTTTGGTTCATGTGTCCCCTCCCCTGTGCACTGACTGCTGTTCCTACCTGCTGTCTTCAGATAGGTGCACAGGGGAAGGCAAGCTCCCGGATGTGTCTGCCTGCCAGTGTCGGGGCTTGACTGCATTTCTGCCTGCAGAGCTGAGGCTCTGAGTCCCCCGCATGGGGCGTTGTCTATGGCTCCCTAAAGCAGAACCTGTGACAGGGTCAAGATGCTGGTGTCCCTTCAGGAGCTCCAGGGGTGGGACAAAGAGTATTAAGTGGCATTGCTCGATCCTGAATCCCTTGGCTGTCCTGACAGGTACATAGGGCACGCACAAAACTGGACACGGGAGGGAGGGTTTACCCTGAGCCACACCACCGTCAGCCAAGGATCTGGTATAGTCACCATCACTTGGCTGAGCTTGCCCCCAGCCCAGGGGCTCTTGGCTATCAGAATCAGAGAAGCCCAGGTCAGACAGTGTATACCACTGCCCTAGGTTCATGGGTCAGGGTTAGTGTATCTGTGCTGTCCCTGGGTTGGGCCGGGAGGAGCAAGGCCTCTGTGCAGCCTCATGCACCTATGCTCCAGGGCTCCTGGGAGCACTGTGGTCCCCATTGCACACTAGGAACCAAACATGGGCCGATGGAGAGCAGGAGCTGGAGATGGCAACTCACAGCTGACAGAGGCAGAACAAACAGAGCCAGAGTCACACAGGGTGGGGATGGGGGCATGTGGAGGAAAGAGGTCTGTTAGGGATGAAGGCAAGGGTGTGGGTGTGGTGGGCAGTAGCAATGCATCCTGTCTACACTTCCACCCTGTGAGCTCCGCAAAGTCCCTCATCTGCTGTGTGAAACCCGGCCTTGGGCTGCGCCAGATGAGGGAAGCCAAATTGCATTGGCCCAGCTATACATTTTACACAGACAATTGTCAGCATGATATAGCACGTTACCTTAAAAATGTTTTTGCTTACTTATTGTGTACGTGCGTGTGGGTGTGGGTGTGGGTGTGTGCGCAACAACACCGTCAATCTTATGTTGTTTTGTGAGAGTCTTCTGTGTTGAGGCAGGGTGTCAAGGGTGGTCCTTTTGAGAGCTGTACAGCATTCCGCTCATGAGTGTCCTGAGATTTGCCTATGCTGCTGGTGGACGCTGGGTATTTCTCAGCTTTGGGGTGTAACGCCTCCGCAGTTGCCTGGAGGGGCTGAGCTGCAAGTTCTGTCTTCCAGTGTCACGAGGCCGCGGTCTCCATCTACTGCAGCATGCAGAACCAGAGCCTCTCCCACTGGGCCCTGGTTTCTGGGTTGTCCCTGTTGGCCTGCTGCCTTGTCTACGCACTGACAGGTAGGGCCTGGGGGAGCGGGGAGGGAGTGGCCGTGGAAAGTGGGTCAAGACCGGGCTCCTGAGAGAGCCTACCCATGCTGGGTTGTCAATACCGTTGCTCCTTTAATCCATATTGTCTCATAGGAAAGGGCTACAGATGGGGAAACTGAGACTCAGAGGGCTCCCGTGGCTTTCCCAAGGTCCCAGAGTTAGATATGCAAAGCTGAGACCCACACCAATGTTCTCAATGTTCCAAACCCTGTTCTCATCTCTCCTGCTATTCTGAGGTGTGGTTATGCCTGGGAAGTGGTTTGTTTACAAAACATTTGCACAGTCACTTCAAGTTCTCAACCCATTTTTTTATGAGGTAAGCAGAGGTCCTCAGAGGTTGTAAAAGTGCAGACAGTAACCAGGAGAGGCCCAAGGTTACAGTACGTGCCTGTTCAGACTCAGGTCTCAGTGACTTTTAGTGTTCATTGTCTGGTGGACTTTCCTGCTTCCATTATTGGAGCTGCTGACTTGGAAGGTTTTGGGCTGTGGTGTATCTGCCATGCAGCCTTGGACTCGTAGGGTCACTAGAGGGACTTGCTGGGGACCTTTTCCCCAGCCAGCAGATCCTGTCATTCTGCAGCCCCAGGATCTGAAGGCTGTGACTGTATTATCTCCTCCAGATGTCCCTAGTGTGAGGGTCAGTAGGACCACAGGACTTCCTAGATAGACCTCCAAGAGACACCTATGTGTTGAGGCCGGAAGTAACCTCTCAGGACACGGCAGAGGACCTGGGTGACAAGAAGCCGTGTTGTGCTGTGGGAAGGAGCTAGCTTTCTGCTCCTGCCAGCTGTGTGATTGTGGAGGATCGGGGGTCATCTAGGCCTTGGTTTTCCCATCTAGAAGATGGCTGTGGGACCAGCTGCTTCCTTGGCTGCTGTTGCCCCGAGCTGGAGGACATGGGACGTGGGAGGTATGTGTCTGTTTCCCAAGGCTCTGGGGCTTCCAGTTAGTGGTCATATCTGAGCCCTGGCGCCAGTCTTGAGTAACCAACTAATCTGCAGGAGTGTCTAGGACAGCAAACATGAAACCCTTCCAGAACCTTCCAACTATACTAAAGAAAATCCTTAGGGTACTGGGGGCGTGGGATGTGTGGGATTCTTCTCTTTGCAGATGCCCACCACCTTCTCTCCCACCTGCAGGTGTTTTTGGCTTCCTGACCTTTGGGACTGAAGTGTCGGCTGATATCCTAATGTCCTACCCAGGGAATGACACGGCCATCATTGTAGCACGGATTCTCTTTGCTGTCTCCATTGTGACTGTCTACCCCATTGTGCTGTTCCTGGGGAGGTGAGTATGTTCAGCCCGGTGCACCACAGGTTGTGTTCCCCGTGTGTGGAGGTACACATGTGTTTTGTGGGACTGAGGTCACCCCCGATGGACAGAGGGGTGCACAGGCACAGTGGGCTGAGGTATTGACTGGCGAATAAGCATCAGAACTGGGCCTGGAACCCTGACTTCCCTCTCTGCATCCTACATACCTGGAGTCTGAGAGGTGCCCTGGGGAACCTGTGGCCGGATGTGGGGCAGACCCGGCGGTGTGCAGGACTCATGGAAACCAGGAGATCAGCAGCCATGGCCCTGGCTGAACATTAGCATCCGTGTATCTGCAGGTCTGTGATGCAGGACTTTTGGAAAAGGAGCTACTGGGCCACACGGGGTCCTCCAGTGCTGGCTGACCCCTCAGGGCCATGGGTTCGGCTGCCACTGACCTTCCTGTGGGTGTCAGTGACCCTTGCCATGGCCTTGTTCCTGCCGGACCTCAGTGAGATCATCAGCATTATCGGTGGCATCAGCTCCTTCTTCATCTTCATCTTCCCCGGTGAGTGACTGCCCCCTGCCTCCAGCACTTGTCCTTGGTCTACGCCAGAAGTTCTCAACCTGTGGGTTGTGACCCCTTTGGTAAACTTCCAAAATAGCTCCAAGAATACTTGCAATATGATTCACGACAGTAACAAAATTACAGATATGAAGTAGCAATGAAAATAGTTTTACGGTTGGGGATCTCCACAGCTTGAGGTGCTGTATTAAAGGGTCGCAGCCTTAGGAAGGTTGAGAACCTGTGTCTGCAAGATCTGGAGGTGGGGCCCTCCTTGGATGAGGGCCTAGGTCACCGAGCCAGTGGTAGGCCAGGCTTTCCAGACATTCCCTGCCGAGTGGCTCAACAGCCCTAGATGGGTATGCCATGTCATTCCGTCCCACAAATGGAAAGACAGAGGCCCAAGACCCAGGGCAGACCTGGCCTGTGACAGAACAGAAAGGCTACCTGGTCCACTGCCAATGTCTCCCACTGTGGCGATGGCTGGTTCTTTTAAAATACTGTCTGTGTGAAACTCTCGAGGCTCACAGTACAAAAGAGCATTCCCCGAGAATCTCCTTGGCACCTCCGTATACCAGGAGGCAGATCCCATGTTCTGCGGTGACAGCTTCTGAGGGAGCCTTCCGGTGTATATGAGCTGAGGGGGTAAGCTACAGGGGACATGGCAGGTGCACTCTCCAGATGGGAACGCCAGCAGGGGGTGAGACTGGAGAAAGACTCCAGCATACAACAGGGACCTGGGCACACAGTAGGTGCACAGCACACTGAAGTACGTCCGTGTCTAGACTATGCAGTTTGGCTATGAGAAGAGCTGCATTAGGTACACTTCAAACTTGGGGGGCAATGGCCCCATGTTGAACCATGGCCAGATGTTCTCTGAGACAGCGATGACACCACTGGATGCGGCACGTCTATGCTTAGGAAGAAGCCAGGCCAGAGAGTGTCTCTATTCACTCTGGTTTGGGATAGAGTTTGATGAATTTCATGGTGCCTGCTCCTCTTTCAACTCCCTGGTCTGAGGCTCTTTCAAGTCTGGCTCAGGCCCCAGGGGAGCCTTTTCAAAGCTCTAGCTCTTGCCTGTGCCCAAGGGAACTGCCTGGGGGTGGGAGGGCGGGATCAGTGTGGGAGAAGTTTGGGAGCTCCAGGCAGAGCCGGCAGGCTTTGAAACTGAACAGAACTGTTGGGATGTTGGAGGTGCGACCCAGGACTCATGCAGGCCAGGCCAGAGCTAAAGTACAGCTAAAAAGGGGGTGTGGGGGTGGGGTACTGCCGGGAGTCTGCCTAAGCTACACACCTGGCTCTTTCTCTTTCCTCCTCTTCCTCCTCCTCCTCCTCCTTCTGCCTATAATGTGTGTGTGTGCACATGCATATGTGTGTGCATGCAAGTGGAGGCCCAAGATTGACATTGGGTGTCTTCACTAATTGCTTTCCACCCCGTGCATTTCCTAGCCCAGCCCACTGTGACAGTCATACACTGAGCCTGTAGGCGGGCTACTGCATCACCAGCTTAGAAATTCCAGGGAGCTGAGCTCCAATCCCCATGCTTGTGTGGCCAACGCTTTACACACTAGACCTGCTCCCCAGTTCCATACTAGCTCCCTTGGTTTTTTGGTTTTTGTGTTTTGTTTTTTGAGACGGTTTCTGGGTAATCAAACTTTGGTCTCTTCATGCTTACGAGGCAAGAACTTTACCAACGGGCTATCTCCCCAGCCTCTAAAAAATATTTAAAAATGAAGGAGGAAGAGGAAGCTGCACATAGTAGCACCTGCCTGTTATCCAAGCAATAGAGAGGCTGAGGCAGGGGGTTGGAGAATTCTAAGCCAGTCTGGGTTGTGTTGCAAGGCCCTGTCTGAAAGAAAGGAAAGCGAAGTTACAGGAATGGCTACAGCTCCATGGGTGCATGCTAGGCTACCAACCAGGTTCCTGCCCCTGCAAGGCAGAGCCCTCAGAGGCCTTGCTATTCAGCCAGATCATTTTGGGGGTGCTTAGTTGGAGCTCTCACTGGCCCCGCTAACTCAAAACTGGTCCCCTAAGCCGGGCGGTGGTGGCGCACGCCTGTAATCCCAGCACTCGGGAGGCAGAGGCAGGAGGATCTCTGTGAGTTCGAGGCCAGCCTGGTCTACAAAGGGAGTCCCAGGACAGGCTCCAAAGCTACAGAGAAACCCTGTCTCGAAAAACCTAAATGCTAATATTGGTTAACAAAAAAAAAAAAAAAAAAAAAAAAAAAAAAAAAAACTGGTCCCCTAACTACTGCGCCTTTCCAGATGTACCAGTTTTCCACTGGCCATTCTCTGGCAGCCCCTGTGCCTCCAGTTCAGCAAGGGAGAGCCAGGTTGATCCTGTGTCTCCTTTGCAGGTTTGTGCCTCATCTGTGCTGTGGATACGGAGCCCATGGGACCAAGAGTCAAGTAAGTGTCCCTTGATGAGGGTGGTACCTAGGGTGTACTGAGGGACTGCGAGCTGGAATGATGTGTTCCCCTGGGCCCGGGAAACCAGAGGTGGTAGCGTGGCCTCCCTCTCCTGTGAGCAAAAGCGTCCATGAGATCCGCACAGATCCGCGGCCAGCCTTCACCAGTGTGTGCACGTATTCCAGGCTCTGTGTTTGGAACTTCCTGTCTGTTTGGAGTATACCCCCACCACCTCTAGTGCTCCAGGCTACACCTCCCTTGAAGTTTGGCTCAGGAGCAGGGCACAGGCTGGTTCTGAGTCTACAGGTCAGCTGACTGAGAGGGCTCAGACCCACTTGTTATGTCACCAATGGTAGCAGATCTTGCCAAGGTTCGGGAGGCTCCTCTAATCTAGTCCTCCTCGTAGACCTATCTCCACTGTACAGATGAAGGGGTGACTCAGGAGGCTGAGGATGGAGCCAGCCCTAGCTCAGACCCTGGGGCCTGAATTCCCTTGATTGCCACTACACAGCGGAGGAAACAGACTGAGGCAGATGGAAGGACGCGGGTTTAGCTTTCTGCGGTGAATGACCACGGCCTTGGGAGTGGCATTTAGTGGCACAAAGGCACCCTGCAAGCTCTGAAAAGCAGTCCTGAAATCGACTGGTCAGCTGGCAAGGCTGCGTTGTGGTCCTCCAATCCCTACCACCCTTCCTGTAGGAGGACTCTTGTCATGGACTCAGGCCCCACACCCTGCCCCTAATCGTTCCTGCAGACCCTGGTCTGGAGAAGGCCCCAATCCCATGTAAGCATGCAATGTGTGGTACCACCATTTTGGATGCCCATGGCTTACACAGCCATGGGTGTGGGTGCCTGTGGCTACAGTTCTGTGCCCAGTCCCCATCCTTCAGCCCCGGTGAACCCAAGGTCGCCAGGAAAGCAGGTGTGGCTCAGACCCCTTCTGTCCTGACAGGAGTTGTAAGCTAGCTGACTGGTCCCTGCTGCTGGTCATAGGAGCAGCTGTTGAATCTTGTTATCGACAAGTCCGGCATGGTTGATTCATACGCTTTCAAGATGGTTTTCTGAAACCACCCGCCTGTTCTGTCCTGCCTGTTGTGTCCTGTGGACTAATGGGGATGATGATGTTCATCCAGAGAGGTCCCTCTCTGGTGACAGTTCCTTCTGGCCCCTGTTAATGCTGCAGTGATCTCTCTGGAAGCCCTGCCATTCGCTGGTGCATTGATCTCCAGTTAAGAAAATGGCCTACAGATTTGCCTACAGCTGGATATCATGGGCACATTTTCTCAAGTGAGACGCCCTCCTCTCGTGATTTTTAACGTGTGTCAAGTTGACATAAAGCTAGCCAGCACAGGGGAATTTTGTCTTAATTTGATGACACTGGCCCATCAGCACCATCTGGCACTGCATATTGCCAGCCACACAACCAAGTTTGTTGTATTGCAGGTGCTGCCTGGAGGCCTGGGGCACCCTCTCTGTGATGGTGGGCACTTTCATCTTTGGCCAGAGCACAGCTGAGGCCATGGTAGAACTGCTCTGAGAGACGTCTGGGCTCTTGCCTGAAGACCCCTGTGGGCTCTTGAATCAAAGAGGTGCAGGGGAAATGGATGGTCCTACCTGCTTGCTGCCTACTGAGCTCTGCTTCTCCTGTGGCTCCTGGGGCCCCGGTGAGGAAGGACCACTGCGACACACCGGTTGGTGACTCAGGACAATAGGTACTCATGCTACTGAAAACCAGAGTGTCAGCTGGAGTGTGGTGGGCTGTGCTCCCTCAGAAGGCTCTGGAACGCCCCTTCTACTGTCCTCCTTTGGTGACTGCAAGAGGTTCTTAGTGTTTCTGGCTTGGAGATGTGTCCTTCAAGTCTCTATATTCATGGTGACATGGTCAGTACCTGCCCTGTATGTCTCTGTCCAAGCTCCCATTTCCCAAGCCAGATGCCAACTACCCAGCCTGGACCTATCTCAAGTTAACAAGTACTTGTCTATACTGGCTATGTCTCCTCTTAGTTACTAAAGGTGTGTGTCTTAGTTACTGTTCCATTGCTGTGAAGAAACACACAATCAAGGTAAGTTACAGAAGAGTTCATGGGGGCTTATATTTTCAGACAGTTAGAATTCATGACCATCATGGCAGGCAGGCATGGTGCTGGAGCAGCAGCTGAGAGCTGACTTACATCCTTGTCCACAAGCACGGGGCAGAGAGAGCACACTAGGAGTGGTATGGGCTTTTGAAACCTCAAAGCCCACCCCCAGAGACAGAGCTCCTCCAACAAGGCCAGGCCTCCTAATCCTTCCCAAACAGTTCCGCCAACTTGAGACCAAGGATTCAAACATATGAGCCTGTGGGGGCCATTTTCATTCAAACCAGTACATTCTACTCCCTGGCCCCACAGGCTAGTAGCCATATCATAATGCAAAATGCATTCAATCTGATGTCAAAAGTGCCCGGTGTTCGGCTGAATGTTATATGAGGATATAACGAAATCGTGACACAGGCATGGGAAGATCTGGTGTTGACATTTCTCAAGAAGTAGATTTAGAATGCCAACAGATGTGACAAGGAGCACAGGAATGCCTGTGACCTTCCTGAATCTCAAGAGAATGGTAGATGGTGTTCCCATACCTCAGACAGTTTTCCGAAGACAAATAGCAACGTTGTGCTTTATGTAACCTTGAACGTGCTAGGCTGAAAGGCAGGTTTCTCTGCACCTGCAAATGCATTCTGTTATCAAAGGAGCTGTAATAATAAAAGTGAGCCTCGCCGTGCAAGTTCCGCTCAGCATTTGGTTGCCCTGAGTCCCCTGGCTCCCACTTTAGTTCTTCCAGGCAAACCTCTCCCGCCATGGTTTTTTCAGTCTCAACCGTTTCAAAAGTCCAAAGTTTCCTTTGAGACTCAAGACAATCTCTGTTACCTCCCCCTGCATACTTCCAGCATACAATGGCGCAGAATATGCGTTACCGTTCCAAAAGGGAGGCATAGGAGCAGAGGGAGGAAATATGGACCAAGGGAAGATCGGAATCTCTCAGGGCAAACTCCAGATCCTGTTACTTTATGTCTGATATCAAAGGGCTTAGATGGTTCTGCCCTTCCAGCTTTGCCAGCTATGACACACTCCTCTCTCTGGGGCTGCTCCACTCCCTGCATGCTCTCCCTGGCAAACATCCATGACTCGGGCACCACCAACATCTTGGGTCTCCAACACACTCCAGGCTTCTTCTTCACAGCTACATGCGGTGGCCTCTCTGGGCTTCCATGCAGAAACCCCGCTGCCATACACCTGGCCTCAGCGCCCTTTCCCAGAGGAGGATTCCACGACCCATGTACTTACCCCTGTATCCCTCATGACTCTAAAGCCTGGACCACACAGCTGATGTTGCCAAGTTCTGCTGCCAGCTTGGAATGGAGTCTGGCCGGCTCTGTGAATTGCATTTGCATAATCTTTGATTTGTTGGTGCTTTTTGGAAGCAGAAGGCCCTTCAGGCCTCTTCCTTTCATAAATTGCAGGATTATCCGAGTGGGGCCTCACACTGAGGGCACCACTTCCTTTCTTCCATCCATCCTTTCTCACAAATCATGGCTCCAACACTGAATTTCCTGGCACTCTTTTTCTCCTCAAACTGTATGTTTTGTATTTCTTTTTGTCCCTTTTGTACTTTTTCATTGTAGATCTGCATAAGGGTGATCATTAATAACCATGGAATAGACTCGATATTGGGCTCTCTTGAAATCTTCTCTGTCAATAAAATTAGTCTGAAACTCTTCAATTTAGCCTCCAGCATGTTCTTATGACAAGGGCAAAAATCAGCTAAAATATCCCAAGAGTGATCGCTAGCCCAGTTGCTGATATTGTTCCCTTCTAAAACCTCTTGAGCTGGGTCTCCATAGTTCATATTGCTCTTAACACTACTGCCTGCCAAGATCCCGTATAAGAGCAAAGTCAGCCTGTAAGCACCACCTGTCCAAGGACCAGGTAACTTCCTGGAATGCTGGGAGTTGTAGTTCCCAGAAAATAACAAGGCCACATGGAAAATGGCAGCCATTTGGTTTTGTTCTTTAAAATCCCTACAACGTGTGTCTTGTGGCTGCTTGTTGGGATTCCAGAAAGTGGATCTGACCAGAGTCCATCCTGGTCGGTATTTAATTAAAGCTTGCTTCAAATTGGCTCAAAATTGTGGAACTGGATTTTCTCTTGCAGGTCTCAGGATTAACATTTGGAAGCCCCAGTGAGATAAGAAAGACCTTTCCACCTCAAATGCTCATGCTTCCCTCTGGGGCTGGTGGGCCGCCCTGGTGGTTCACACTTTGGAATATTAATCCAAAACTCCACTCCCCACTCCCCCCACAGTGAATGGCCAGGAGATAGCAAGCATTTTTGGTAAGTCATAGAAGCCTTTTTCACTTCCTGTGACACTTTTCTACCTTTAGGGGAGGACTTTATGAGGTCTATGCACCCCCGTACTTGGTGAAGGGAGATGTCCCACAGCCCACTGGTTATTTCTGGGGAGGTTCATGTGGAGTCTCAATTGCCCTTTCTTCTGACCTGCTATGAAAGCATCCTAGGGACACCAGGGGCCATGTGCTCAAGTGTATCAGAGAGGCCTGGCCTGTGGGCGGGCATTCATCAGCAGGGTGCCAATACATGGACTATGCAACAAAGCCAGGACATCCCAGGACATGGGGGGCCAAACCTAGAGTTTGGAAAGGCCCCGGAGCAGAGATGTCAGAAGGACCAGGGTTTGTGCCAGGAGACAACCGAAACAACCTCTTACCTGGTAAATGTCTCTTGGTCTGAAGCAGAGGACTCCAACTGTTAGATGTCATTGTCTGATGTTTTCTGTTGTCATTTGGCTCTACGTTTGCCTTTGTTGCTTTGACTCTGTGTCCTGTCTTGTGGATGTACCTGTCATTATATGGTCCGACTTGGGGATGCTGGGCAACTTTGAAAGACCCAGGGTCCCTGTACAGAAGCCAGTGGTCATCCCTGCTGTACCACTACTATGCCAGTAGGGAAATGCATTCAGCAGCAGTGACCACCAAGGTGTCCCTCCTCACAAATTACAACATTGGAGGAGGTATCTAGCTGTTTTGAATGTATGGATGTGGACACTGCATGTTTGTTTCTGATTGGTCTCCCTTGAATGTGTGAACTCCCTGTGTTCCATGCTTCTTCGTTAAGGCTCAGCTGATACTATTACAGTCAGTGATGGCCCAGGACCCAGAATTCATCTCTGAGCTGTCTGGCCAGTGGATCTAATGTAATAGGGAGTCAAATGTCATTTGAGTATGAATAATAATAACTTTATTGAAAAACTGGCTCTAAAATTAGGTTATGGCTCTCCCTGTTCCAGACCAAGACATTCTTTTAAAGTCTATGTCTGGGGACAAGATGCACAGCAGGGAGAAGAGAGCAAGACAGCTCAAGGGATTATTGATTTGTAAGTTCATTGGGTATGGTGAAAAATCTGTAATACTTGTAACAAAAAAGTTAACATAAAACTTGCATAGGATTGGTAAAAGTCTGTGCATAGGTAATCTTAAAGGTTCTGTGTGGCATGACTGTATTTTGGGATATAAGCAACACCTGGCCTGCCGCCATCCTTAGGCAGTCACGTGACTGAAAGCCGTCTTTGCTAGGGTTGCAGAGGCAAGATGTCCTACGGCTACACTGCCATCTTGATTAGGGACAATCACAAGGTGTGGCCAACCAAGGAGCTAACAGGTCTCCAAAGATACTTTTAAATTTGGGTGGATTTTGTTATGCTAATTCCCATCCTGTCTTGAAAACACTGTTTATGAAAGATAGGACTTAAAACACAGTGTTTGTTTAATGAAGTATTAAAGCTGCATCTTCATGCATTCATATACAAGAAGGAATCTTGCCGGCAGTCAAACTTTGTAACATAAAAGTCACCCAGGTGGTTTTAAGGACATTGCATTGTTTGCCCTGGTGAAGTTTGCTTCTGCCTTGTGCAGATTGTGGTTGTGCTCAGTTTCTCACTCTTGAATTAAAAAGGTACTTTTTTCCAGGAGCATGCAGTTGTGAGATTTTAAACTTCTTTAAAAAGACATTGTGGACTTTTCCAGAAAATGTAAATTAAAAAGTAAATATTTTTAAGAAACCGCTTTTAAAAATAATTAATTCTATAAGGCTCTGGGACATTTATAAGATATTATAATGTCTTTATTAACATGTGATTTTGATAAATAGATAAATAAAAGGTTAAAATTAGGGCCACAGCTTTGAGCACCAAACATTAAAAACTAGAGACTAAGGTATTTCTATATTTGATGCAGTGACCTAAGCTGTCTGGCGAAAGGCCTCTCCCTAGTAAGGTCTGTTCAGGCTAACAGAGACTGATTTAAGAATGTATGTCTAGCCGGGCGATGGTGGCGCACGCCTTTAATCCCAGCAGTCGGGAGGCAGAGGCAGGCAGATCTCTGTGAGTTCGAGACCAGCCTGGTCTACAGAGCTAGTTCCAGGACAGGCTCCAAAGCCACAGAGAAACCCTGTCTCGAAAAACAAAAACAAAAACAACAAAAAAAAATGTATGTCTAACTTCCTTGTTTTTGCTACTTTGTTAAACTGTAGCTATTTTGGTAAACTGAGTCATGCCAGAAATTGTTATACTCTATATGGTGTCCTATGTAAGGACCAGGAAAATAAAGTTTCTGAACTCCTGATGGACTGTATTCATGAAATGAATTTCAATTCAGAAATTGTTATTTTTATTATAAACTGTTAAAGATGATATGTTCAGAACTATACTAATGTGGCATCTGAGGTAAAGTGTGTGCACTTGGAAGGCAGAGCAGAGCGTTGTCTTCTTTCTTTCCCTTACTTCCTGAGACAGGCTCCCTCACTGGGTCAGCTAGGCTGGCCGGTGAGTTCTTTTTGTTTGTTTATTTGCTTATTTATTTATTTATTAAGCCTGCAGGCCAGAAGAGGGCACCAGATCTCATTACAGATGGTTGTGAGCTACCATGTGGTTGCTGGGAATTGAACTCAGAACCTTCGGAAGAGCCAGCAATGCTCTTAACCACTGAGCCATCTCACCAGCCCTGCCGGTGAGTTCTTCATATCTGAACCAAACCCCCACTTCCGCAATGCTGGAGGTTACATGAGTTCATGGCCATACTTTTTACATGGGTGCTGGGGATTTGAACTCAGGTCCTCATGCTTGCATTGCAAATGCTCTACCCCCTGAGCATCCTCCCAGCCCATGTGAGTGCCTTCTGTGTATATCTAAGAGTAGCATCCCTGGGTCACATGGTCGTGAACTGTTTGTGGAAGTGGGCACTGATATTAGCAGGACTCCAGAGCTGGTCTCCCCAGACTCTACTGCTGTGTGGTGTGGCGTAGTGCCAGGCACAGGATTGTGGGTAGTGGGCTCTGTGCTTGTATTTTCTTACGGTACTACCATGTTGTGTGACCTGGGTGAGAACCCTTCTCTCTGTGCCTGTGTCTCCTTCTGGACACACCGGGATGTAGGTATGAGCAAGCACAGTCGGTGGTGGTGCCTGTCAGGTGCTCGATTCTGTACCTGTGTAAATGACGTGGAAACTGGAGAACCTGGTAGGGGGACGTCCCCTCAGAGCCTCTGCCCACCCGTTCCAACACTGATGATCTTGAAGTCCGCCACTCGGCTGTGCTGCACTTTGGAGGAGAATTTGGGCAAAGTGGGTGAACGGAGGTGTGACGTGCTCCGCTAAGTGGGGCTCCTCAGCTACACCCCAAAGCACCAGTCTCCTGGCTTATAATTGGGAAGGAGCAGGCTTGGGCCAATAGAGCGATATTTACTCGGGCTGATTGCACCGGCTGGAGCCTTCCCCATGCGGAGCCAGGTGATTCCTATTCCTGACCCATTACTGGGTGGGTGGCTTTGCTGCCCACTTTCTGGATGAGACCCCCCCGATTCTCCGAGGCTGGTGTGGGATAGTCCCTTTAGAGCCGGAAGTTAAGATCTGAATCTGCTTCACTCTCCCTAGGAGAGGTTTAGGAAAGGCTGGCATCTGACCTTGAGGTCAGTCTGCACCCAGGGAGGTGGCAGGGGTGGGAGGAGCACAGTTGTGGTCTTGCCTCTCTCACCAGCAGAGGTGGAACGCTGCCCCCTCCCCCTCCCCATCTTTCCTGCTCAGAGGGAGACCTGCTGTGTTCCTTGATGGTCAAGGCTTCTGTGACGGTCTTCCTGCTGACCGGGAGAAGCAGGGTGGAATGTACAGGAACTGGTCTTCCAAGCAGCGGTGCAAGGGCCGAATCTATGCTAGAGTCCCTGACAGGAGAGCAGTGACAGTCACGTGGCATGTGATGGCTTCTGCTCCAGGCTCCCAGGAGGCCGGCTCTATGACCCAGTGTGCTAGTAACACTTCTGGTACCAAAAGTCTTGGGTTTAGGCTGCGGACCCATCTATGGAGGGTGGCATTGAAGGTCAGCCACTCTCCATAGCCTCTTTTTGGTCACCCCTGATGTAAGTTGTCACATGCAATTGTGTTGTCCCCCATGGCCTGGGCTGGGGCTTCGTGCCTGGCCCGCCTTTGCTGACTTCTTTCAGTGCCTGTGTCCCCAAACTGCGAATGACCCCCCCCCCCACCAGTCCCACTGTGCTTCCTGCAGGCTGCTACACTTGAGGTGGCCCAGGCAGGAGTTGCCAAACTCACTTGTTACAATAACCTTTCACGTGGCATTGCTCCACTGACAGGAACATGGAGGCCCAGGGAGAGCTGGCTAGGAGCCACCCTGGCTCTGTGGTGCCCACGATGGCACCCCCCCCCCCAACTATCTCCCTCCTCTGGCTGCCGTCAGCTAGGAAAGGGACAGAGGCATGACACACACTGTTCCTAACCAGACTTTATTTGGTGGCTGTGGGCCTAGCATGGTGCTGGGGACCTGGGCTCTACCGGAGCCTACACTGGGTACTACAGGGTCACAGCTCCTACTAGGTAGAGGGCCATCAAGGAAGAGGGAAGTCGAGAACGAGGCCCGTCCATCTGAGGTGGGTCCAGCTGGGCCTCAGCCATGAGGAGTCAGGGAGGCCAGAGGCAAGCTGGGGTGGGAAGGTGTTGGTCGGAGGCTGGCCTGGGAAGCCATCCCTGCTAACCTTGTCCTCACCAGTATCCCAGCAATACGCTCTGCCAAGTCGAGTCAGGTGTGGATGCCAGGGGAGGGGCCTCCTCCATGTCGTAGCGGGGGTAAGTACACATCCTTTTATTAGTATATTGAAAAGACAGCTGTGTACCAAAGTCTCTAGAAAAGGGGTAGTGTCCTTTACAAGAAGTGGGGGAGGGGGGCACTAGGCTCCTTAACAGGGCCTCGGGAGGGGTCAGTCTCGGCCCGAAGTGCACCAGGCAGCTGGAAACAGGAGAGAGAAATAGCGGTCAGTGGCTGGCTTGTGGAGATCAAGGCCCCTTCCATGGAGGCTGGGGTGGCTGTGGGCAGGAGCGGGCAGAACGGGTAGGGGAGGCCTTGGGCAGAGTTCCAGGCCAGGCTTTGCAACCCTGTGCTGCTCACTCAGGTCTGGGGTGAGGGGTGGGAGGGTCTAGGTTCTCTCTAGGCAGACATACTTCCTGAGCTTCTCACGTGAGTCCCCACGTGTGCCCAGTGGTGCCCTGTTCTCACCCTGTCTCTCTCTATCCACCAGGCCTTGGGTCAGGAACATGCATCTAGATCAAGATTCCTGGTCACGAGTGAGCAAGAAGCCCCTGTAGGTCTGGGACCCTTCATAGCGGCTGGCGCTGCCTAGAGATCTGGGGCGCCCCACCCCAGGGGCCGTTTTGCCCCTGGCCCGCTACCTGGCACGGAGATCTGAGAGAGTGCCTCAGGCTGGCTCAGGGTGTCAACCTTGACGTGTCGAAAGGCCTTGCACACGGGACTCTGCAGGTGCCTGCAAGCCAGGAGCACGATTAGTCTGGGGGTATGTCTCGGAGAAGGGGCGAGGGGAATTTTAAGTGCAGGCCCAGGTCCAGTCCTGCTGTCTGGGGGCGGGGCTGTGACCTTGTGAGCATCCATTTGGGAAGGCCTTTGGTTCTAGACTGCCCAAGGGAACAAGATCAGACCTCTAGCCCCGACCTGTCCCCTCCTGATTAGCTGCAGTGTCGGGGGAAGGACTTAATCCTGCGCAGATGCCAGCAACACTCCCCCTGGAGGCTTGAGCACTGGTGTCCAGCCCACCTGCCCTGTGTGCCCACTCCTCCCTGCAGCACCTCACTGTGGGGAAGAACAGGGGCCAAAGCGACCCCTCTGTGTTGGGGTTGTATGTGGGGAACTGGAAACCTCTGCAAACACAGTACTGTGTCTCTAACTGGGGAGGGTCAGCAAAGTGCCTGGGCTGTGTTCTGAACCTGCGTAGTATCCCTGCACTCAGCCCCACAGCCCTCGGCAGCGCTACTGAATGCAAGGCCCAGGACCCAGCACTCAATGATGCAGGCAGGTGCTGAGTGGCAGGGGTGGCCTTAGAGCAGAGCTTTCCATGCATGGTGCCATACGAAGACCCTGGGTCAGGGGTCCCACTAGAAACCCTGCTGCCTCTGAGTGAAAGGGCAGAAGCTCACCAGGAAAGGAAGCTTGCCTGGATGGAAAAACCTCTGCAACCAGACTCCAGGTTCCTCGCCATCCTCCCCACTCTCTCCTCTCCGGACAGGAGCCTAGAGCCAGCCAGTCCCATCTTACCCCGGCCCACCCCCAGGTTATGGGGTAGGGACAGCGCTGTACCAACCTCTTCCACTCCTCCTCTGTCTCCCAGAACTCGTAGATGACGAAGGTGAGGCCGTCTGCCATCCTCACTGCAGCAACGCTGCAGGGAAATGACATGCACATGTGTGGCTGGCAGTGGCTGCCCCCACAGATGCATGCCACAGTCTCAACCTCTGTCCTCCCCATTTGTTCTCCACAGGGCAGTGGGAGCTGGAGACGCCAGGGATACCCTGGGAGATAGTGTAGCGTTGTCTGCTTGCAGGCGCTATTTTCCTGACCTCAATGATGCCAAGCCTCCAGGGGCAGCCACAAGGCCACCTGGCACAGCACCATGGCCCACAATGAGAGCATCTCACCCCCCCACGTGGGCATCATCAGCCATCTCCTGCCTACCCTCTCTCCATCTCTCCCTCTGTCCCCTCTGCCATCAGCCAAAGAAGGGCTCTCCTTGTCTGAGTATGTGACGTCTCCCTGCAGCCCCCAGCCTATCTTCACACAGAAGGCAGGACCAACATGGGTCCTGATAACACCAACACACAGCCTCTGGCACCCCTCCTTAGGCTATTCCCCCATCACTTTGTCCAGCCAAACCATCATCACCCTCTCTCTCAGTACTGGCTATGTACAGACCCCTCACTGGTGGCCACAGTTATCTGCTTCACCTTGCTGAACTACCCAGAATTGGCAGAACAGGAGGGGGTGGGGGCCAGCGACCTGCATTCTGGAAGACACCCCTCCTGGAGGCTCAGTTTCTCCCTGTAACCGAGCGGGTCCTGACTTGAGTTAGGCTCTGTGTTGTATCGTGTGAGTTAACAGTGGTCACCCTGGGTGAGTGGAACATGAACCAGGACGGCCTCAACACAACACGTTACTCTATTCACTCTCCTGAAACACTGTCTGCTTGACAGGTGTGTGAGCCCGGGCCTCGGGGAGAACTAATCTACCCACCACCTACAGCTGCAATGGGGCTGGGCCTCACTTTAACTTCACGTGCCTGTCACGTGCGGCTCTACAGGGTTTCCCCCCTCCCTATCGCTGCCAGCCAGAGGCCCTGGTCACCACCCCACCCCAAAGCTCCACAGAGAGCCTTGTCACTTACTGGAAACAATTCCTTTCTCCAGCGGTGCCACGGAGGTACTGTCTCAAAGAGTCCAAGAACTCGCTCAGCTGCTCAGGGCATACGGCCATTTCTTGCCGGACCAGCTGCAGGTGCTGCGGGCCAAAGTGGGAATGAGCACGTGTGCCAGGCCCTTCCCCAGCCACGTGGGCATAGCTGAAATCCCAGCAGCCCAGACCTTGCTTCTGAGACGTCAGGGCAATAGGGTCAAATAAAACCCTATTTTATTCTTACATGTGCAAACCAGTTAAAGGAGGATGGGGACAAATGGGTACAGTCCCCGAGAGCCCCCCACAAACAGGGCAGTAGAAATGCTGCAGGGAGCCCCATCCAGAGGCACAGCTGGTGACCAGCAGGCTGCCTTCAGTCTGATGACAGAGTGGATCAGATACTTGCCCTGCTCCAGCCCAGGTGTTTTTTATATCAGAGTCCTGGAGCCTCGGCTCACCATGCCCCTCGGGGAGGAGAGGGCAGAGAAGGGCGGCCAGAGACATGGAGCTCCGACACTCCTCAGAGGGCGGGAGGAACAAGTCAGAAGAGGGGCAGAGAGGGCCTTACCATGTCCGTTCCTTCTTCATCTGAGAGGCGCTGCTGCAGGTCAAACCAGAGGGTCTAGAACAAAGCACAGTGGGGCCTGTGACTCAGGCCACCTCCATGGAGTCTCCCAAGGCCCCACCTAGGGTACGGGGTACCTGGGACCCCCAGGGTTACAGCCCCTGTCCCAGTGTGCCAGGGATTCTGAGATCTCCCAGGCTACAAGTGTGGCTCCCACGGCCGAGCCTTAGAGCAGCTTCAAGAGGGACCCTGAAGCCAGAGAGTCGGGGAAATGGCAGAGAACGCCTGGGGCCCAGGCTTCTGAAGCACTGGGAGGCTCAGAGATCAAGATGGACTCTAAAGAAACTTGGGGTGTGTGGGGTGGGGCAGGGCAATCTTAGTAACAGGCACTCAGGGGGCCGGCCCAAAATCAAGATTATTTTTCAAACAAGGATTTCATAAAAGCCCTAAGATCTATAACTCGCTTACCTCACCCCTAGCAGTGACCCCATTTCCCAGCCTCCCTGAGCCAGCTGCTGCCTACCGTGTGATTCGGGAATGCAGAAGCCATGCGGGCTCTGTGGGTCACCAGTACCTGGCGCCCAAGACAGAGCCAAGCAGACACTGAAGTTCAGTCACGGCTGTCACAGCACAGAACCCAGGGACTCTAAACGGTCCCCAGATGGGTTTGTATTAGGGCCTGGGTTTTAAACCGTGTCTGAACCCCACCTGACAGAAATCCATTCTTCCTTCAATGTGGTTACCCCATAATTGCAGCCTGCATGCCTGTCTGCCCTGCCTGAAGACAGGAGGTGCCAACCAGCGCACACATAGCGCATGCACTATTAAAGACAACAGCGGTGGCAGGTGGACCGGAGTTCTCAAACGTCTGAACGAGGGTCTGCCTCGGAATCACACCTCCAGCCTCCACTGACCCTTGCCCACACATCTTAAGAAAGTGCCCAGTAGGGAAGATGTGTTCACGGATTCAAGCTTGCTTCTGTCACTGAATAGGCACACGGGCAGCTCTTGGGGGGCTGGGGCCCCACCGGAGGCCCTTTGGCCTCTCGAGAGTCAGATGGTGAGCCCAGCAGTACCCAGACCTGCCACCCAGCATCTCCATCCTCCTTGTCCTCCAGGCACAGTTGGAGACGTTGCTTGGCCAGCTGGGGGCCCAGTCTGGAGCTGGCTTGAATGTACTCATACTAGTGGCTTAGGCCAATCAAAGACCTTGGTGGACCCCGCCCCATCTCCAGGACGCCTAGGTGCTCCTGGTTACCAGCAAGCCTGGTTGTTAGGGCGACAGGGTACTAAAAATAAGCTTCAAAAAGCCTCCCTCCTGGGGCCCCCACTGAGTTGTTATGACAACCGGGCACAAGGTCCCCACCACGCTGCTCTCACCCTGGGCAGGGCAGCAGGCTTAAAAGGGGTGTGGGAGGGGGACCCCCGCTTCCGCCACAGCCCTGCAGCTGAGCCACCACCAACAGCCTTTTTTCTCCAGTCAGACTGCTTCCTAGTGACAAGGCCCTTGCTTCACGCTCATGAGTCCCTCGGAACAAAGCCCCCCAACCCAGCCAAGTACCAGAGCTCCTTGCAAAAGAAATACAGAGAAACAGAAGAAATGTCACCACGATCCCAGGTCTCTGAGACACCTGTCACTCGGTGTAGGCATTGCGTGGGAGCCCTGTGCACATGCGTGGGGAAGTTGGGGAAGAATGACTAGCAGTGATAGCATGGCTAAGGCTGGAGGCTAACCCAGACAGCAGACGCTGACCTGAGCCACCTGCACCTTGGTGAGGAACACTGAGTGAGGTCCTGAGTGTCTCTGCTGTCATCCGAGTAGCCATCTCGGGCTCAGAGAGGGGAGTAAGCCACCCACTCAAAGCCAAGGAGCAGAAACTCGGCTCGAACAGAGGAACACCCGAGCCCACCCATCTGCAAGCCCCTTTGGGAGTCCTGTGAGTTACGCACTGGTCCTGGAAATGTCTTTGTGGAGGCTGCACAGCTCCGCACCTCTGGACTGTGTTGTGCTGGCTGTCTCTGTGTCTCTGTTCTCCTGTTGGGAACCTGCCCTGAACCATCGCGGGCTCCACCGGCTTTTGGCCTCCAGTCTTGGAGCCGGCTCTCTTGGCTATGTCCACAGGACATACCAGGATCCTACCGATTACTCTCTGTACCTAGAATGCTGCTTGCCCTCCCATCGTCAGGACCATGGCCCCAGTCCAGCTTTCTTCAACCTCCAACACACCAGGGTGCCTCTGTCCTGACCTCAGCCTCTTCACAGCTGTTATGTGGATAGGGGTGGGGAGCCTACCTTGCTCTCCAGTCTCCCAATCAGCTCTGCCAACCGGCTTATCTGGCCCTCCAGCCCTTCCTCTTTTGGCTCCCCTGTGGCTGAGAAAGAAAGAAAGAGATCCTGATGGTAGGCAGGGCCATCCTAAGGGGGCAGAGCCCCAAGCCCAGAGTACGCCCTAGTGCAGATTCCTTGGGTCCCCTTGGAGGGTAGTGACCACCAACGATGCTCTCTCACCCATAGGCAGGCTTCTCCCTGGCTCCGGGGCTGCCAGCTTGTGGTTGGCGATGTAGGGAGGACTGGGGCCTCCGTAGTGGCTCTTGGTGATGCCGTGGCTGGGTTTGCAGTGCTCCTGTCTGCAGTGTGTATAGAAGAAACGAAGTGTTCATGAGGGCAACGGTAGGGCCACGGCCACCTCTGCGACCTTCCAGGTGCACTTAGGAAGTACTGACCGTGTCCTGAAATGTGCACAGACCTGCCCTGCGGGCCCGTGTCTGCAGGACGGTCAGGGTAGCCTTCATTTTCACAGAGGAGGAAACAAGACCCCCCAAGGCAGGTGACCTGACCAAGGCCATGTGGTCAGCTGGGGCATAATTCCATGCCAAGATTCTAGAGGCCAAGTCCTATGCCCCATTGGCTCATTTCCTCGGCTGGGGTAAGGTTGGGCCAGAAACCTATCTGGCTGATCTCATAGCTCATAGCTTCCAGTCAGTACAGGTCAACCCCAGGCTGGAGACACACAGTGTGTCTTCCTCCCTGCCTGCCTCAGTAGAGGCCACTGTGCTGTGGAGTGACTTCTGGGGGAAGACCTGGGTATTTGCCAGAGAGACAGCCTGCTTCCAACAAGGCAGCAAGAAAATACTCTGAGCCTGGCCAGAGACAGATTCCATCTCTGGTCCCCATGTCCCCTTCCCCTGCACCCTCCACCCCTAGCACAGCAACAGGCACCCAGCAGGGTCTCCGAAAATGCGGGGTGAACAGCTAATTCCTTATGCACGAAGATGGGCATGCAAAACTGACTACCAACATACCAGTCAACGGGCATGTGGCTGACACCCCACACGCCTGAACCCTTTAGTACAGTTTGAATTTGTCTCCTGTGACCCTGAAAAGTTTAACAAGTCTTTCTCCCGTGTTGAAGAAGCAGGCTCAGCTCCCCTAGCAGGACAAAGCTGGCGGAGGCTTTGAGCTGTCAATCACAACATCTTTACAAACCAGTAACAAACTCAGTGTGTCCCTTAGACCATGAAGAGCTGAGTGGGAGGCCCCTCAAGCAGCAGGGTCTGTATAAGCTTCTCCAGGAACACAGCACCCCTGGGGGCTGCTCCAGGGTGGGGACACAGGGTAGCGCCAGGGAGCTCAGGGCCTGGAGCCAAAAGTGTTTAGATGTGGGGCAGTTTGAGGTGTCTGTGGGCATGGAACAGATTTCCTATCAAGACACACCACCCACTCCTTCCACAGACATCCCAGAGTTATCCCCTCCCAGGTGGGGGCAAGCGAGCGAGCAGAACCATGGTTGGAGCCACGGAGCAGTGGAGCAGCGTAGGAAGACAGCCAGGAAAATTGCCCAAGGCTGCTATCTATCTACAGCAGGAGAAAAAGGGGGAAGTTTGATTAAGCTGATAATAATAAATCAATACAGGGAAAGCTGTCTGTCCCCAGGAAGGTGGCTGCTGACTCTGGGGACTTGGGATCGCAAGGCTGCCCACGTGGACAGAGTAAGGAACTGACTTTCAAGTGCCGACAGTCAACACGTTTGGCCACGGTGTCATGAAGAACCAGCCCCTCACAACCTGATCTGATTGATGTCCTCACCAACCAAGTGACATCACTCAAACCCCACCCCCATGGCAAAAGAACATCCCAGTCACACTGTGCCTCTCTGCCAGGCACCCTGAAGTTGTACACAGATAAAGCAGAGGCTGCAGAGCCCAGGGGTATGGGTCCATTGGCAGCTGCCCACCTGTGTGTGGGTCCCATTTCCCCTCTACTGCTCTGAGCACACGAGAGTTTGTCCAGCCAGCTATCGGCAGCATGCGGGTGGGCTCCAAGATGAGCAGGCCCTGCTTAGCTGAACAGATTGAAGCCTCCCAGTCCAGGAGCCAGACACACATCCCCCACAGTGCCCATGAGAAACCCTTGGGTGCTCGCCTGTGTACCCAGAGACCAAAAGAGCAACACCCCGAACTCTATCCCTCTCCAGGACCTCCTTCAGCATTAGTTTGGTCCCTACCCTGCCCTCAGTAGCTTCCTGCATCTCTACAGCTCCCCAGGTAACAAAGGTGGGAGCCCTTGGGGATCCTAGGACCCCTGGTAAGAACACGCATCCCTCTGGATGCTCCATTCTGGCATGTGGCACTTGTGTCCCCATCCTGAAGCCAGACACCACTTCCCAACTGGTTTCCCGTGTTTGGAAGTAGGCCAGACAGCAGGTCGGTGTTGTGAGAACAAGAACTGTGGCAAGATCTATGGGTCCCAGGAGTGCAGGGCCCCTAACAGCCGTTCTCCTGAGTGTGTTCTGTCCTGTATAAGTCTCACGACTCAGGTACAAGGTCCTAAGTGTGTCCTTATACTGCAGCTGGAGAAACTGGAGGAGGGCAAGGAAGGTGCAGCCACCTGGCCAAGGTCACCGAGATTTGAGGTACACTAAGAGTCAGGCTGCCAGGAGCACCCCCGTATGTCCCACTGACATACCGGATCTGGCTGGTCTGTTCATCAATGGCTTCCACAGCACTTTCCACGGAGCTGAGCAGCGACTGGATCTGATTGGCTGTCTCCTTCAGAAGGAAGCGGGTCACAAACTGGTCCACATTGCTCCCACCTTCATACACCTGGGGGCATTGGGAGAGAACCTGGATGTGGGTTGGCACAGGGACTGTGGACACCTTGAGCTAGTGACTCTGCTTTGTGGTGGCCTGCACTGCCTCCTACATCTTAGGGGCTACAAAGCCCACAAAGCAGGGCCCCAGACTCAGAGGCCAAAGCGGGACCTCTGGCTTCACTGGGATCACCACTCCAGGCCCAGCTGTCAGGGACCAGAGGAGTATAAGATGCGGGGCACAGTGTCCATCACACGACTGATGTGTGTGAACTTCCGCTGCTGTGGCAAAGGTGGCAGGAGTGGTGACAGTGATAACAATGTTGGCGATGGCGTTGGTGAGCCAGTGTTGGCAATGGCAATGCTGATGGTGCAGATGGCCATAGAGGTGTTGGTGGCGGTGATGATGGTGATGATGGTGATGATGATAATGATGATCGGCAGTGATGACGGCAACGGAGAGGTTGGTGATGACAATGACGATGGTGATGGGGGTGGTGACGATGCTGGTAGCGGCGATGGTGTAAAGGATGGTGGAGGTGTTCATGATGTTAATGCTAATGGTGGTGATGACCGTAATGATGGTAAAAATGCCAGCCATCACCGAGTGGTATTTCTGTTGTTGCAGTAGAGAGAAAGCACCAGGAAAGATGGCCTCATGGACTCTGCTCCCTCCTTCCTTCTGCAAGAATTCTTTGTGTCCCTGAGTCTTCATGTTGCTCTTCAGACTAACAGAAGAGAATCACTGCAGGCCCCCACAGAAATCCTCTGAGGCCTGTGCTCAGAGGTGGGGGCACAAGAGTAGGGGATGCGGAGAGGTGGGAAGGCGCACGTGACGAGGCGCAGCGAGCTTTGAAGAGAGGGGGGATGCTGCGCGGTGTGCACTGTGCAGTGTGCAGCAGAACTTCTCCTCTGGCAAGTCATCAGTACTGGCGTCCCTGGTTGAGACGCCTGCCTCTGCAGAAGGTTGCAGAGAAGACGGGAGAAGTGTGGCTTCTTAGGGTCAACAGTGGTGCAGAGGTAACCACCGCTGGGGAGGGCGGGGAGGGAAGAGGTGCTGGACCTCTGTCGCCACCCTACTCTCTGGAGTGGCCCCTCCCCCGTACACTGGAACTCTGCCCAGTCCGTGGCAAAGCAGGGGGCGGGGGAGGGGGGGGACAAGGCTCTCAAGGAAAGCAAATTAAACTATCCATCACTCTGACTGAGAATTAATTAGCAATAATTACACATTGGGAAACATGGCTGGAAGATAGAGAGCCTGAGGAACAAGGCGTGGGGGGTGGTGCAGGGGAGAACACACGAAGATAGACATTCTGTCCTGAGGCCTGGCTTGGCGCCACTGTGGGCAGACCCCAGTGGAGAAGACATCCTAGCCCCTACCCTGAGGTGCAGGCAGCTCCTGGCTGTCTTTCTAACAACCTGACGCCACCCATGGACTGGAGAACAATGGACAATTGATTACCTCCAAATGACCGAGATGACATAACATGGTTTAAAGTTAAATTAATAACCCCCAGAAAAAGGCTGCTAGGAAGGTTCTAAGCAGGACAGGAGTGGGATTCAGGGTCACAACGTTCAGACCAGGGACCGACAAGGCAGTCAGCAAAATGAAGAAAATGCGAATTCCAAAGCCAGGCCACCTTCTGGGGTGAGGGAAGCAATGGAGACATGACCCTTTTCTGCCTAGCCAAGAGGCGAAGCTCCTCAGCAAAAAGCCAGAGGGTTGTATGCCTGCACCCTGTGGCAAACCATTTGCAGGTCGTTGGGAGCTGCCCAGAGCCCTGCAGAGCTTTTGATGTGCCAGGTGAGAGCTATCATCCATCCAGACTTGAGCCACAGAAAGAGATCCCCCAAGAGGGAAGCTAATTAGCCACTAATTGTTCACTTATTTATTTATTGGTGTGTGTGTGCCATGATGCGTGTATGGAGGTCAGAGGACAACCTGTGGAAGTCTGCTCTTGCTCTTCACCATGTGGGTCCTTGGGATTGAACTCAGGTCATTTAGGTTTGGTAGTAATTCCCTTGAAAAGAGCTGAGCTGTCTCGATGATCAGATTAAGTCAGACAATTCAGACGACATCCTCCCATTTCAGAATTCCTTCATCCCCAAAGTCAACAGGAAATGTTTTTAATGACCTAAGAATAAAAATAGGATTGAGAATTTCCTTTCTTTTCTTTCTTTCTTTCTTTTTGGTGTGTGTGAGTCTCTCTCTCTCTCTCTCTCTCTCTCTCTCTCTCTCTCTCNTGTGTGTGTCTCTCTCTCTCTCTCTCTCTCTCTCTCTCTCTCTCTCTCGATGTGTGTGTGTGTGTGTGTGTGTGTGTGTGTGTGTGTGTGTGTGTGTGTGTGTGTGTGTATGTTTTGAGACAGGATCTCACAGTGTAATCCTGGCTGCCCTGGAACAGCTTTGTAGAACAGGCTGGGCTTGAACTCACAGAGATCCACCTGCTTCTGCCTCTTGAGAGCTGGGATTATATACCTTCACCACCACACCTGGCTTCAGAAGCCACTAATAAGATGAAAATGGAGAATTTTATCTTCTAAGTCACAATCAATGAAGCAGAGCAGACCATCAAAAAGAAGAGTATAAAAGAGATGAAGAGAGAATGAAACGGAGGAAGAACAAAGGATCACGAGAGCCGCCAGCCTGGATGGAACATTCATAATGAAAAAAGACAGCCACAGTCTCCCGGGTGCAGACACCATTCCGGAGCTGGTTAAACAAGATGCGGCACCCCATCAGTGCAGCAAAGGCTTTGCAGGCAGAAGCTGGTGCAGAGAGGTTCTGCAATCACACTCGATCAGGCAGACAAGGCCGGCTGCCACACCGCCTGGGCGCTAGAGCTTAAATGAGAAAACACGAGTAGAGATAAGGAGGCTGAGGACGCAGTGTGCGCCAGGCTGTTATTTCATCCGTGGGGCTGGCGCTGAGGCTGCTGTGAGCCTTGCTAAGCTTGGTGACAGGGTCACAGCTGTCATAAAAAGCAAGTCAGCTGAGTATCAAGAGGCTTAGACTCTTCATATTTCTTTTGGAGACAGAGTCTCTGGTTGGCTTGGAACTCGTAACAATCCTCCTGCCTCACCCTGGACAGTAGCTAGAGTGACAGGTGTATATTGCTATATTAATTTGTTCATATTCTTTTTAAGGTTTCTTTTTATTTATATGTGAGCTCAGGTGCCTGTGGAGGCCAGAAGAAGAAGCTGGAGTCAGGAGTTGTGAGCAGGAACTGAACTCAGGTCCTCTGGAAGAGCCATAAGCACTAGTAACCTCTGAGCCATCTCTCTGGCCTCTTGTTCCTAGTCTTGAGACCAGTAAGCCTCCAGTTCTGATCATTGTTCCTTAAGAGTAGAGAGAACATCTGGACGGTGGTGGTACGTGCAGGTAACCCCAGTACTGGGGAGGCAGAGGAAGGCGGATCTCTGTTAGTTCAAGGTCAGCCTGGTCTACACAGAGAGTTTAGAGTCATCTGAAGGGAGGAAACCTCAACTGAGAAAATGCCTTCATAAGATCTGGCTGCAGCAAACCTAAAGGGCATTTTCTTTTCTTTTCTTTTTCTTTCTTTTTTTTTACTCTCATAAGACCTAAAAGGGTAAGGGGTTATTTTATAACAACAGGATCAAAGGAAAGTATCTAGAAACACATAAAAGCATTACAAATCCATTAGAACTCCCTCCTCTACCCACAAAAGTACAGAAGCTTTCTCAAAAACAAACAAAACCCAAAATCCTGGCAACACATATTTAGTCCTTTTAGGAACTATGAAAGTGATATAATTCCCGCCGTATTTAATTCCTCTCGGGGATTATGAAACAATACTGCAAAAGAGCTAAGCTCCAGTCTTCTCCAGAATGGCCTCCTCCCCGCAGAGTGGGATTACAGTCTTCACTTGGAGAAGTTCCCCGGTCACTTCCCAGGGATGACCACCCTGGAACACAGTTATGAACGTCACTGTGCCAGCTCTCCTCTGCAGCACCGCCGAGAGAGACCAGGAGGCAGGAGACTGCGTGGGTTGCCGTCCAGAGAATTACATTGTGAGGGTAACGTGAGCAAAGGGGAGACCTAAAGCTTTTGTTTCTTAAGACTGCCCTGATTTGCATATGAAAAATGAATACTTACAGAAGATGAGAAGAAACAAATAAGATCCTATCTTATTTCTGATGTCGTGGAGTGATGTTCTGAACTGTGGTGGGAGGGAGGAAAATTGAAACTACTGAGATGTGGTTGAATTCAGGATCCATCTGTCTTGGAACCTGAGCTTTTCCTGCCTCAGCCTCCATAGCCATCTCAGTAGGTATCAGGCCCTGAGTGCTGGCACTTGCTGGTGGCACCGGCAGATGGCCAGCGGTGTTGCCGAAGAGAGCTGGCACAGAAGGACTTCTTTTCTTTTTTTTTTTTAAGGATTTTTTTTTAACTTTTTTTAATTTTAAAATTTATTTGTATTTTTTTTTGTACGTTAGTATTTTGCCTACATGTCTGTCTGAGAGTCTCAGATCCCCTGGAACACGGGTTATAGACAGTTATGAGGTGCCATGTGGGTGCTGGGAATTGAACCTGGGACCTCTGGAAGAGCAGCCAGTACTCTTACCCCCTGAGCCATCTCTCCAGTCCCAGGACATTTTCTTAATTAGTGATGGATGGGGGAGGGCCCAGCCCATTGTGGGTGGTCCCATCCTTGGGCTGGTGGTACTGGGCTCCATAAGAAAGCAGGTTGAGCAAGCTATAAAGAGCAAGGCCGCAAGCAGCACTCCTCCATGGCCTCTGTGTCAGCTTCCGTCTCCAGGTTCCTGCCCTGTTTAGAGTTCCTGTCCTTTGTCAATAACAGACTACCTGGAGGTGGTGGCACTCGCCTTTAATCCCAGTATTAGGGAGGCAGAGGCAGGTGGATCTTTGTGAGTTCAAGGCCAGCCTGGCCTAGGAAGCTAGTTCCAGGACAGCCAGGACTACACAGTGAGATCCTGTCTCGAACCTCCCCCCCACACACACACGTTCTCTGACTTCTCCAAAGCTGTTGCAATGTGCAGAAGAGACAGGCTTTGTGTTTTTAAAGAGCGTGTTCCAGCTGCATGCATTTCCCAACAAAGGCAGGAGATCTATTTTCAGGTCTGACCTCCCACACTCTCCAAATGTCTCTCCCAGGCACCTGTGAGGCCATCATCAGACAAAGGGTCATGCAACCAAAAGATGAGTCCAGAAGGGACACGATGCAGGAGGAAGCTCACTGGTCACTCATCTTTATCACAATAAAGGGATTGCGAGAGACAGCTCGGAAAATCCTGGGGACAAAGACACTGCGTGGTACCATCTGTGGTGGCCTCAGAAATACCAAAGGTCAGTATTTTGGATTTCAGAATTTCATATTAACCAAAGCATTCACACAAAGGGGAAAAAGACCAAGGTGACAATGAACCTAAGCCAATGGAGGGCAAGAATTGTAAGAAGAAGAAGCACAAATAAATTAGACAATGTAACACTCATATTAAGTAAGTATCTGGGGCTGCCTATGAGAAACAGCTAATTAAAATAGACAACACTGTCAAATATAACGTTTTTAAAATGTAGGAAGCAGTTGGACGTGGCACATGCTTCTAATTCCAGTGCTGAGAAAGCTGAGGCAGGAGGGTGGCCAGTTAGAGGCCAGCCTGATTTACAGGGTAAGATCCTGTGTCAACAAACAAAGTGAAAGAAAAGAAGGAAGGGGGAAGAGGAGTGATGGAGGGTTGGGAGGGGTGGATGGAGGAAGAAGGGATGGAGGGAGGGAGAAGGGATGGGAGGATGGAGGGAGAGGGGAGGATGAACGGAGGGAGGGGATGGAGGGAGAAGGGATGAAGGGATGGAGAGAGAGGGGAGGGAGGAATAGAGGGAGAGGGTATGGAAGGAGAGGGGCAGGAGGAAGGGATGGAGGGAGAGGGGAGAGAGGGAGAGGAAAGAGATAAAGAGGAGGAGGGAAGGATGGAGGAAAGGAAGGAAGGAGGGAAGGAATGATGGAGGGAGGGAGGAGGGAAGGAGAGGGGAAACAAACCATGAAGGAAATGAGGCTCTATCTGAAGGGATCCAAGACTATGACAGTCCTGACCTCACAACCACCTAAAAAATTTTATTGTTCTTTTCTGCATGAAGTATCTGTCTTGGTCAAACAATGGTTAGACTTTTAAAAATAACCATAACTATATAATTGATCATAAATGTGAACACGTCCAGGTTGGTTAAAGAACACACTACTACAGTGAACAACCCCCCAAAGGAAATGACTATAAGTAGGGTTTGCTATAAACTCCCTGTCACAGGGGCTGGAGAAATGGCTCAGTGGCTCAGAGCTCTTGGCCAAGGATCCGGGGTTTGATTCCCAGCACCTACGTGGTGGCTCACAACCATCTGTGACTCCGGTTCCAGGGGATCCAATGCCCTCTTCTGGCTCCTGTGGGCTTCAGGCACACACATGGTGCATAGATGTCCATACACGCAGGTAATATCGCTCACCCATAAAGCGATAAAATAAGATCAATGACAAAAGCCGACCTTTTTAGTCCCTTGACCCAAGAGTTATTGATACATTTTGATTTTGAATAGAAGAAAAAAAAACACGTCTGTACATCTCAGGGATGGTGAATCATAGAGGAGATGCCCCAGTCACGTGATTTGCTCCCCAGGCCAGCATCCCACCTCACCTCCCAGGGCAGAGAGAAGACACTCAGTAGGTGACAGAACTGAGTGAGCAATGATGAAATTACGACGCTCTGATGAGAGTTTACCACGGAGCACCGACTATTTGATACGACAGAACCTAAAAATAGAATCCACCCATCGATCGCGGGAGCAAAATCATCAGCTCATAAAAAAAAAAAAAAAAAGCCCACAGGCATTTGAGCAGACTCCTCGCCATCAGCCAAGACAAGACTGAACAAAGGGGAAGGCGAAACATATTTTTGCACGGGCTGAATTGAAGAGGGTTCTAAAATAAGAGTTGGCATTAATATTGCAATTAGCAGAGAGATGCTGGAGAGATGCACTTGAAAGCTGGGCCTTGGCGTCATTGGGATGTGTTAGGATCTGGGGAAGATGCCACATGCAATGGAGTCGCCAGCGGAGCCCACATTAGTCACCGCGCAGGAGACTAACCCAGCTAACCATGACAGAGGCTACTGCATCACAGAATCAAAGCCATCAGCTACAATCAGGGGTCACAAGGTGTCTTAGGGTTTCTTTCGCTGTGATGAAACATTATGGCCGAAAGCAAACTGGGGAGGAAAGGGTACATGTCCACATCACAGTCCACAGATAGATGTCAGGGCAGAAACCCAAGGCAAGAACGGATGCAGAGGCCATGGAGGGTGCTGCTTACCGGCTTGCTCCCCATGGCTTGCTCAGCCTGCTTTCGTAGAGCATCCAAGACCACCAGCCCAGCGGTGGCACCACCCAAAGTGAGCTGGGCCCTCCCCCATCAGTCGTGAATTCAGAAACACATGCCGCAGAAACACATGTGTGGGTTCTTAATTGAGATTCCCCTCCTCTCAGCTGACCGTGTCAAGCTGACACAGAAGCTAGCCAGCAAACAAGGAAAGTATTTAAGATCATCAGCAGGCTGCCTTTCTACAAACAGGCCAGCTAGGAGATACCCAAGAAGGAAAAAGAAAAACAGTCAGCTACCATTTCAGGCCCTGCAAGGATGCTCCGGTATCACCCGAAACCACCAGGACTACCTGAGGCCACATGCGCAAGGCCCTTGTGGTACCTTGGTTAAGGCTGGGCTGAGTCTCCTGGGAGGAGTTCAGCTCCCCTCCCTCATGGATGGTGAGGTTCGATCACGACGATCCAAGAGTAGGAAGAACCTCAATACAGCCCTACTGGGACAGGGTTCTGCTCCTAGACGGGAGGGGAAGGATCAAGGAGTGGGCTGCTGCACAAAATCCATCTTCCCCTCCCTCATACGTCCAGTGACAGCAGAACAGGCTGTCACACTTGCCTGGCACACCCTGCTAATGCTCCAGCCACTGTGGGACACTGGGGCTGTCGGAAAAACGGCAATGATGAATACCCCCTCACCCCTGAAGAGCGGCTCTCACAAGGTCTTAAAATATTTGCAAGCAACAAGAGGCCCCGACAGTGCAAGGCCAGCATGACAGTGTGGATAAGCAGGGGGTGGGGGTGGAGGAGGGTGAAGTGGTGGTGGGGGGCAGACTCAGCAACATCCGGGTGCAGCGCAAGAAAGGGCCCCTCAGTCCGCTGCAGGCAGGGCATGGGCTGCATGTGAGGAACTGAGGAAGCCGACCTTAGCTAAGCAGCCCTGCATTCAGCAGTTTAGAGGACCCACTTCCTTCAGTCAGGTCCCCGAAGATGGACACGCCCACTTCCCAGGCAGCAAAAGTGAGACTCCAATTCCTCAGCTGCCTCACTGACCAGATCAGCTAGGTCCTCCTCTACTGCACACGTCAGCCACTCGGGAGACACCAGTGCACGCCTGGGTCAAGTTCAAAAGATAAAACCTGAATCCCCACTTCCAGATCCCTAGGTCTGAACTGCCCCTGAAGGAGCCCATCATTCCGGGATTCCTACATTCACTGGTTAGCCACACCAGGACCAGACCTGGCCCCTGCAAAGGCCCTCGCACTCTGACGCACACCCTGCTAGACCAAGCTATCTATCAAGGTGTTGCTCCTCTCACTGTGTAGTTTATCTGAGATCCTCAAAGAGCCTCGCCAGCGTACATCACTACGAATCCAGACACCCTTGAACGACAATACTCGGCACAACCTGGAATCAACTGGCACACAGGCCCTCGCTTCTTGAGAACGCTACCACACCCACTGACCTTCTTGGTGTAGCCCATGGCTTTCAGGACCGAATGGTTCAAGGTCTCCAGGGAGGCCAGGACATCCTCGTAGTCTCCCATGTGGTCCACAAAGTAATCTGGGGAAGGAGGTTGCAAAGGTCAGGGGTCACGGAGGAGGCCACCCTTCTCCCTGGGGCCCCCTCACAAGCCCCATCTAGGTGTCCACACTGCTTTGCCCTCCTCGGGGTATTCTTGTCCACACCACGGTTGCTGTAGGTCCGGGTACTTACCACACAGTTCCTTGGTGTCCACATGGCTGTAGAGGGAGGGAGGAAGAAAATGATGGAGAGGGGGAGAGTCAACAGGTCAGTTTCTGACCCTCCCGGCAGCCCTTAAACACCTGCTGCAGCCCCCTCTGCACCCTCAGCACCAGTCTGGAGAGGGCTCAGAGGGAGCCACCTGCCTAGGCGCCATGCCAAGTTCTCTTTTCTTCCCTTATTCTGAGATAAGGCTACGGTTATGGAATCCAGGCTGGCCTCGAACTCGCATGATCCTCCTGCCTCAACCTCCTGAGTGTCGTGGTTACAGACCTAGACCACCACACCTGGCTGCTCAATATTTCTCTCCAAGCCTGTGGGCCATATCTAGAGTAGATGGGACCAATGAGGGGCTGAGCCTGGGAGCAGGGTGGGAAAAGGGCTTCAGCGTGGGTTGTGATTCTTATAGGTTGTCAAAATAACGCCACTGGGACTCTTGGGGCCCTGTTTCAGTTTCCGGTCTAGCCGCGGGTCTCACCCCTTATACCAAAGCAGAGAAGGATTTGGTCTCTGCTCAGGGTTGGGGGAGGTGTGTGAAAGCATTAGTGCCGGATGCTGCAGCAGAGGGACCAGGCAGGGGCTGTGCCGGTTCTAATGCTTTCTCCGTTCTGGGGCCTAGCCTCTACCCTGGCTTAGGCCTGCTTTTGGTGAATCCCATGTTCAATAGCATACATCCGGGCAAAAGTTTTCTGTAGATTCCAAGGCTGGTGACTGCCTTGGAATTTCTTTGACATCCTGGAGTGCCGCTTCTGATGTGTGAGCTGTCTGGGTCAGAAGGTGCACTTGGCAGCTCACAAGGGGCTAATGTTTGCTGCGCCTACTTCGGGGAGGGAGATAATGGAGGACAGAATCCAGAACCCAGACTGTCTTCAGAATTGTGACCTTCCTTAAAGAAGGTTCACTCTGCTCAGCCCCCCCCCCCCAGGTCAACCTCTTCACTAGCTGACACCCATCCCGGGGCTCCCAGTGAGAATGTATAACTATCTCAGTGGGAGCCGAGGAGGCTACAGAGAAGCTGTGTGAGACTTCATCTGGCCTGGAGACAGGGTCCTCTGCTCTGCTGTGGAGCCTTAAGTCACTCCTACACAGTGGCTTCCCCAGAATCCTGTCAAGTCTTCAGCCTTGATTCCTTGATTCCACTTTACTCTGACCCCTGCAAACTGGCTTGGTAGTCACCATGTGCCCAGATCACCGCTAGTCTTGGAACCCCCGCTCCCCCCCCCAAGTGATCCAATCTGCTCTATCGCCCCCAGAAACTTTAGTCCTCATCACATCAGGGCGGCAGAGGAAAGTAACCAGGTGGCTCTGACCTACCCATGCAGAATTTAGGAGCAATGGACAAAGATGGGTGAGGGGTGAAGGGTGACAGGCCCGTGAGTGTGGGCAGTGTACACTTATGCTGGCTCTGGAGGCCAGGTGTCCTGTGGGGCTGAGCTGCAGGTCCAGGTCATGACTGGATTGCAGAAAAGGTTCAATTTGCTCCACAGCCAGAAGTGAGGTTAAGCTAGAATTGGGATTCATATGCAGAAGGGCGGTTTGGGATGGGGATTCATGGAGACAGGACCTCAGAAAGCAGATTCTGGGGAACACTGGAATCAGGACCGAATGGAGATACGCAGAGTCACAGTCAATGGCCCACCAATCCTGTGTGTACCGCAGTAGGCCCAGGGTCTCTCTCTCTACTTGGCTAAGGCGGCTCAGAAAGGACAAGCTTAGTCTCAGTCATACACACAGGACCCACGCCTTCACCTCAGCCTGGCAGCGAGGGCCGAACAGGTCTGACTTTTAGGATTAGTGAGTCAGAGGAGTTCCAGGCCTCTTGCCCTTAAACAGAGCCCTGTCATTATGGAGAAGGGAGGAGTCTATACATCCCCAGGGTGCCCCGCAGTAGCCTGGCCTCACTTGGTGTTGTCTGAGTCAATGGTGTGGAAGAGATCCTCCAGCTCCTTCTCACTGAGGACACCATCTGCGAAGAAGAGCTGAAATTCCTCCAGGGACAGCTTCCCGTCATCTGCAGTGGACAGGCAAGGAAGCGGCTGCTGTCTCAGCGGGAAGAGCACACGGTGGCCCCACAGTCCAATACCGGAACCACTGCCTCGGAACCACTGCCTCGGCTGACAAACTCCTAGCTGTCAGACTGAGGCCAACAGAGACAACAGAAGTTGTTTTCTGGGGACCAGACAAACACCCCGCATATTCTCGACCAGACAATCTTCCCTTCTGCTTCTCGGGCAATCACCTAACTCTGTTTAACCTGCGTCTCCGGCAATCACCTGACTCTGTCTCACCTGCATCTCCCTCCCGCAATCACCTGACTCAAGAGACTGTTTAAGCACTGTGCCTAACCTGACACCAGTAGCCTTCCCATAGAGGTCACTCCCAACCCCAGCCCCAGGACTTAGTTCTGGGAGGGGGAGCAGTCTCTCTATTGGGTCCTTCCACAAGGCATTAGTAGTCTGAGTTCAGACCTCAACCTAGCCTAGGGCAGGACCTTGTGCCACATGGTAGGTGCCAACAGAATCCCCCACCCTTTTGGTGAGGAGGCAGTCAGTGGCTGCATTTTTCATGGAGTAGCTGGGCTGCATGGAAAAGACTAGACTCAATGAATGTGTTTTGTGATTGATTAGTCATGTCTGCCCCAGGCACAGCATGGGGTGTACCAACACCAGGCCCAGCTTGCCTGACTGCTTCCACCTGCTTATCATGGCTGATACCTCAGTGTCTTCTGTACCCAGAGAGAACAGGGAGCTGGAGGACAGGATGTGCAGATCCTCTAATCAGAAGCCTTCTGACATTTACCTTGGGTGGTAGCCACAAGCCTAATGAGCACATATGCGCTATTAAGAGGAAAATATCCTCCACTTGGCCTCTGGTCCAATTAGAGAAGACAAGTTGTCCCAGAGCTTTTTCACCTCTGCCAGCAACCCAAGAAGGGCTGTTTGTAGGTGGCTCTACTAATGAGCAGGAGCCCAGCCTGCTGCAGTGACCTTTCAAATAGCAAGAGCCCTGAGTTTCATCCCTGGTGGGAAACGCTGGCTGGTCCTCACCCCTCCGCCAGCTGTCAATGCAGTCTTCTGGCGTGATACCTTGGGCTGCCAGTCAGGCCTCTCATTCTTGTCTTCCCCTGGGGATTGGCTACCTCATGTCCACCACAGTCAAAGCTAGTCCTTATCATGAGCACCTGTGAGAGACCTACAGCCGTGTCCTCACCAGGGCAGGCATCTTGCACACATTGGCAGAGGACCCGCTGTGCTTTGGGTACAGTGAACTCGCCAAGGAGTTCCCCACCAAGGAGTGGTGGGGTGTCTAGGGCCCACTGTAGACCTGTGTTGTGGGCCAGGGAGAGGGGCAGGCCTCTCTGCCTGGGTGGTGAAGGCACTACACACAGCTAACACATCTTCAGTGCCATTTGGTCCCCTATAGCCCTGTGTCCTGTGTGGCATCTGCAGGTGGTCCTTCACCCAGAGGGCAGGGAGGATGCAAATCATCTCTAGGACAGGCCTGTTTCCCTGCCCTTTCATATCCCAGCGAGTTCGAGCCCACCCCACCAACCATGTGCAGCAGTCAACAACGGCTCCCAGGAATGACATAGGATCTGGACAAAGCCTGAGCCACCTTGAATTCAAGCCCACTTGGGAAGGGAACCAGGGACTCAGGGGCAAGATCCCTGGGCCTCATGAGGACTTCATGGATGACCACACCTCTCTCAGGTTCTCTTGAAGTGTCTTTTAGGTCACCCACATCTCCTCTACCTTGCCCCAAAGCTCAGGACAGCACACAGGGCCTCTGTTACTGCTCCAGCTTTCAGAAGGGGAAACCGAGGCAACAGAATAGTGACCGGAAGTTGGCCCCTGGACTCCTTGTGCTCTTCCCCTTCAGGTTCATAGGCGTCCACATTCCCACCCCTAACTGTTTCCCATGAGACATCAGGGCGAAGAGTGTGGGCACCTGGAGGGAAACTCACCATTTTTATCCGCACGACGGAAAATCTGCAGAGAGGAGACTTGGAGTCATTCCTAAGCTGAGTCTGGGCAGATGCCCTCAGCAGCCGCTTGACCCAGCTGAGATTCCTCTCCCAGGAGCAGCCCAAACTTCCCCAGGAGACCCCAAGGCTGGGACCCAGGGTAGAGAGACTGCAGCAGGCAGGGGCCCTCCCCTCACTACTTCAGAAGCTGCCACTCCCTCTCCCTCTGCGCTGCCAGCCTGCCCACGGTTGCTGACAGGCACACACATCCGTGCTGTACGCTCACGCACACCCACGTGTATCTCTGCAGGTGTACGTACACTCATTCCTCTCGACTCCCCCATTGCTGAGCTCACAGCTGCACCCAGCCATGCTCAGAAGCCCAGGAGAGCTCCCTGCTTCCCATCATTCGCTTTTCAGGACCCACCTCCCCTTGCTCTGGCTTGCTTGGGTCCCTTCTGAAGGAGGTGCTCTTGAAGCCTGGTGACAAGATCAGCCCACAGGAAGTATGGCGTCATTAGGAGATGGGGAGGGAGAGGCAGGCAGGAATGTTCTGGTTGCAACCAGCAGGGATGGGACGGGGAACAGCCCAAACCTGGGACCTGCACTTTAGACAAAGTCACTCCAGGCTTCCCCGACTTTTGAATACCTCAAGGTCCTTTGATGACAGGTGCTAGGACCCCGGGGTCACGAGGCTGTTTCTGATCACTAAAGGGCACTTCCAAAAGCCACTCAGCCCAGGCCATAATCCAGGCAGGTGAACCAGCAGTTCCTGACAGACCAGAGTGTCTGCTAAAACCTCCCAACTCACAGAAGGGATCTGATGTCAAACCCTGGACCCCTGAATCAGGCTTGCCTTTTAGCTAGCTCCCTGTGGTGGCTGAGGTCTCAGTACTGTAAGATCTGAGATGGTCCCAGGATCCTGGAGGAATTGGCTCCCTTTATTCAGAAGGAAACTTCAGCCCACAGCGTGTCCAGGTTCCCACCCCCCACCCACCCCGACACATTCTCTCTGGGTTTTCCCAGACTCAGGAAGGTCTGAGGGGGATCTGCTAGGCCAGAAAGGAAATGCCACCAGCTTGAATCTCTTTGAGTTGAAGGATAGATGGTTCTGGTCACCTGTACCCCACAAGCAACAGGACAAGAGAATTGGGAACTCTCTGGGTACGCCCAGACCCCAAAAGGCTTGGGTGTGGAAATGACTAGGTTGATGTGGTCTCAACCGACACCAAGTAAGATGGCTCCTAGAACCAGCGTGACACCCTCCCCCTACTGTGTACCCCATTTCACAGACAAAGAAATAGAGGCTCAGCAGCACACAGCAGCCAGCGAGGGTCCCAGTGCAAAGGAACAGGCTGGACACAGCTTCCCTGAAAGAGGTCCAAGCCATCACCTCCACTCTGGACTCTGCCTGGATCCTTCTGTGTGTGAATGTGGTGTGTGTGTCTGTGCACACCTCCTGTGTGCGCACACCTCTTTGTGTATGTGTTCACAGACGCACTAGGACACCCATCTCCGAAACCCTCCTGCCCAGACACACCTATGGGTTCTGAGATCTAGAAAAGGAAGCAAAGAGGGGATAGGGTTTCTAGTCCCTTGACACTTGTAGGGGTATATGGCACACACACACACACACACACACACACACACACACACACGCAAGCAAGCGTGCACTTACTCAAAAACACCCCACTCTCCTAGAACCTCATAACATATAAAGCCCCACCCTCGGACCAGTCCCATCCCCCTGAAGCCCCTCCATGGGCCACCAGCCCACTCCAGCCCCTGTGACTCCCCCACTCTGCAGGGGGTGGGGCGTTGGTGCATTGAGGAGCTAGGTGGGATGAGGAGTGAGTCTGGGGTCTAAGAGTCAAAAGGAAAGTACAGGAAGGGGAAGGTGGCAGGATGAGGGTGGAGCTGGGGGGAGAGGAGGGGATGGTCCCTGGGTCCAGGCAATGGCCCTGATTTTATGTAAAGAGGAGGTGGGGAAGGGGCTTCACTCGCAAAGTGGCACAGAGCGGTGGCGGTGGAAGGGGGCTCAGTTTCCTTAGCAGAGAAGAGCGAAGGGGTGGTTCAGGGGCTGTGTGTGTGGTCTAGAAGTTATCACTGCAGGGAAGAATCCTGGATAGAGAGGAGGGGGCTGGAAGTGCCCAGGGGCTCCTGTCCCAGTCATAGGGACTCAAGTGAGAGGGTTGGTTAGGACCAGAAGAGGGGAATAGTGGCCAGATTTATGACAGCCCTAAAGGTCCGGGTTACGGGATGCGGGGGTGCAAGAATGAGATGGGAGGGGATTTAGAGGGTCGTGAAGTTCCAGTGGGGACAGGCGCCCCAGCCGCGATGGGAGAAGAGTAGGGTCCCTGCTATGAGTTGAGTGGAAGCGGGAACATGGAGGGAGGGAACTGAAGAAGAGGGTCCTGGTCCGGGTGCGGGGCTGGGGGGGGGGGGCTCAAGGTCCCCACTCGGAGGAGGGTCCCGGCTATGGGATGTGGGGATGCAAGGAAGTGGATGAAAAGGATGGAGGCGAGGACCACACAGTCCGGATGGAGTTGAGAGCTGGGGGCAGGGGTGTCCCTGTGGGAAGAAGGGGTCCCAGCCACGGGATGTGGAGAGGTGGGAATGAGGGAAAGTAGAGGGAGGGGATGGAGAGGATAGTGCGGTCTGGATTGGGGGATAGGCGCCTTAGCGGCAATGAGAGTTGGGGCTTGCGCTTGGGGTCTCCTCGCCGAGAAGGGTCCCGGCTAAGGGATGAGGGGGATGCGGGAACGTGAAGGGAGCGGATGAAGGAGAGGGTCCTCGGGTCCCGGGTGTGAACTGGCACCCAGCCGCGCTGGGCAGAGGGTCCGGCGCATACTCACGTCCAGGATGACTGCCGTGCCCCCGTGCGGCGCGGCGGGCCCGGGCCCGGGGTTGGGGTCCACGACGGGAATGTCGGGGACGAGCGGTGCGCGGGGCTCGCCCATCCTGGCGCCCACCCAGCGCAGCAGCCCGCCCAGCGCGCGGCCCTGCGGCGGCGGCTCCCGGAGCAGCCTGTGCGCGCCGGCCCTGCACAGGCGCGCCGCCCGCTCGCACATCTCGTCCGCCGACCCCCGCCCGGCCGCGCCCCCGCGCGCCCCCTGCCCGCGCCCGCCCGCGCGCGCCGCTCCCGCCGCCGGCCCCGCGGCCCGGACACCGCGGGGACCGCCAATGCCGGGGGGTGGGGCGGGGGGGAGGCTACCCGGACCCCGAGCCACGTGCTCCGCGCCCGCCGCCCCCACCTCGCCGGCCAAGAGCGGAGGCAGGGGACTGCCCGCGGGGGCGCGGGGTCCGGCGGTCGGACCCTGGCACGGTTGCAGAGGGGGATGGCTTCGTGCACACGGGGATGCAGACGGGCGTGGAGGAGGGTGGGGGCCCCCAGGATTGTGCCCCGGTCCCCACCAGGGTCCCGCTGACCCCCGTCCCCTCCCCCGTGGTGCTGGTGTCCGGCGAGCCCTGAGCGCCCTCTGCCGGCCGGTCCTCCCTGCATCCCTTCCCCTCCCCTCCTCCACCCGCGGATGCCAGTTGCCCTGAAAGCAGAGAAAGATGTGGAGAATTGTTCAAGTGATTCAGACTCAAGAGACCTGAATAGGAGGCCCAGGGCTGGACACCAGCCTGCGCAAAGGCCCTGCGGCAGGTAACAGGGAGGTGAGACTGGGAGACTGACGAACAGACCAGGGGATTCCCTGGTGGACAGGGCTGCGGCAAGCTTCTGGAAGCCTCATTCCCTGCCCAGAGTCTCTAGCACCAAGCCCAGGACTGCTCCACTCTGGGGCCCCATCCCTTGTTCTCCTGGAGCTGTAGGCCTTACCCAAGGGCTCAGTGCAGGGTCTGTTTGCCAAGCCACTCCCCAAGCACAGACTTCTCAGGCACAGTGGAGGCACTCGCTGTTGGTTTTATTATGAACCTGATTCTGAAAGGTTAGGCCTGGTCCTGCTAGTTGGCCACTCAGCTGGCCCCGTGATTTCAGCACACACTGACGGCTTCAAGGGGGCCCAGACCCAGGCTTCTCTGCCTATAGCTACTGCTCTCACCTTGGGCCTTGACTAGCCGGAGGATGGGGTAACCTGTGTTCCCCATGCCTCTGGGTCAGACAGTCCATCCACAGGGCTCAAGTCTTCATCTCCTGCTGGGGAGACTGGTCCCCAAATGGGAAATCTTTAGATGGGCTCATGTCCCACTGGGCTATGGTGAGCCCCTCCTCTCCCCTCTCCCGGGCCTGGTGTCAGGGCGTCTGGCTGATGTTAAGGTGGTTTCCTGGTCTCCTTCCTCAGCAGCGAGCTGGCAGCAGCCAAGGCCCCACCCTGGACGAACCTCACGAAGTTGTCTCCAGCCAGTGGCCCCAGGGCATACAGGCCCTCCTGGTTAGCGCTCTCATAGGTGAAGGGATCCACATCAATGGGGTTCCTCTTGGGGCTCAGTGGCTGATCTGGGTCTATGGCCAAGTCAGCACCTGCCCTGGGGAGGTAGGAGAGGTTGGGGTGGGAGCCAATGAGGACCAGCACCATGGAGACTCCGAAGAGCTGCTGGCCCCCTTGTGGGTCCTGGAACACTGCCTGGTGGTCCTCCTTGAAGAGCAGCGGTCGGTGCTCAGGGAGGCTGCGGTAGCCCTGGTAGGGGCTGGGTGACAAGATGGATTGATCGCGCATCATCTGGTGTACCTTGTGGTACTCAGGGTACAGCATCTTGGGCAGCTGGTTGAAGACCAGGCCAGGGTCATGGACAGACCGGCGGAAGGCATGGATCACCTGGATGTTGTAGTGGCGAGCAAAGAGGACAGCGTCGGCTGCAGACAGCCCAGCGCCCACGATCAGCACCGGGTCTGAGTTTGGGTTCACAGTGCCTGCCCGCAGGGCTGCCTCCAGGGCTGCCAGCTCATGGTGGACAAAGGGCAGGGTCTCTCCTGGGATGCCTAGCCAGGCTGGGCTGTCAAAGGTGCCCGTGGCCAGGACCACGTTACGGGCCCACAGTGAAAAGGACTGGCGGCTGTGGTCCTTGGCAGTCACGTAACCTTTCACTTGGAAGAGGGGGCTGGGTGCTTGGGCCTCGGGGCTGCCATGGTCAGACTTTGCTTGCTCCACAGCCGTGACTACGGCGCCAGACACAAAGTTGTGACTTAGACCCTTCTTGGTCACATAGTCCCTGTAGTAGTGGGCGATGTCGCCGGCTGTGGCTCTGCTGTTGCGGAGACCCCTGAAGAGGAAGCAGATGTGGGAGCTGGTGTCAGAGACGGGCATGGAGGCAGGCAACGTCCGTGGTGACAGCATTCCCAGCTGCAGTCAGGCTTCTCTGTCTCTCCCTGTCCCTTAGTTCCCCTACTTGGGAGGCAGGGTGGTGAGTGTTTCAGACCGTGGGGGATTCTACAAGGTTGGGTGAAAACCAAGTGCCTAGACTGGAACTTAAACAAGGGAGTAATATGTCCGGGCTGGCCAGCAGTGAAGCCATTACCAGCACTCTGGAGGCTGAGGCAGGAGGATCACCAGTTTAAGGCCAGCCTTTCAAGGCAAGACCTTGCCTCAAAAACTCAAAATATAGTAAGATCTAACATCTTAGATATCATAAAGTTCGGAATGAGGTCAAGGGTCTATGCAGCTAGAGTCGAGAGCAGGGCTGTACTGGAGGAGGGGAAGAGGGGGTGAGAGGAGAGCAGAGGGACAGTGGGCAGTGGCCTCTGAACCCGGCCTTGAGTACCACGGGCAAGGCACTCTTCAGTGGTACTCAAGGTTTTCGTACCCCTTTCTAGGTGAGCTCCCTCTACCCCCAGCTGAGGCCTGAACCTGGGGCCTTGGGCTTGCTAGGCAAGTGCTCTACCACTGAGCTAAATCCCTACCCCTCAACCCCGTGAATCCCATTCTGAAGTGTGAACTTTAAAATATCCCACTGAAGCCCTTAGCAGGTCCCGGGCCACACAGGAAAGGCCTGGGTTTTGGGGGGCTGCTTTATTTCTGCTGCCATTTTTATTCTGTCTT